ATATATATATATATATATATATATATATATATATATATAGGTATGTGAGGGCCCAAACTCGACACCCCGCCGCGAGCTGCAGAGGAGAAGAAGTTACCTCAGCGCTGCCGGCGTCGTGAGAAGCAAAATAATAATAACAACAATTATAATAATGAAAATGGATGTAAACGGTGGAGTTCGTCCTTTTCCTTAGAGCGGGTTTTCTGCGTGTTCTCCTGTTTCAAATGGCCACCACAGGTGCATCTATCTATCTATGCATCAAGGAAACGTTCGCCTCCTCTCAGCTGGAGAGCTGTGGTGATATGGAGCGGCGTCCTCGACGACGAACACGCGCGTTAGCCTTCGCATCTATCTTACCCCTTAAAGAAATGGAAGAAAAGCCCCGTTCCTTCTCCTCCTCTTCAAACGCGTTACAGCACAGCCTTGCACATCCTTTTTTGTGGACAGCGTTTACCTGAGTGTGAGGCGCACCCCGGCAGAAAACTGTGCTGCGTGGGTCTCGTCACGGCCCTCCCTGCGTCGTTGCGCTGGCGCTTCCTTTGTAAGAAAGCGCAGCAGGCACACACACGCACATACACATACACACACACGCGCGAGCAAGCCGACACGCGAATTATCTCCCTTATCACGAGCGCAGGCGCAAAAGGAGAAACCAAGGTCAGCCGCTCTTTGCAATGTCCATATCGTATAGTAACCGTCATCTGTATGAACTCCATCCCACCAGCACGCGCAACTTCGGCGTGCAGGCGGCTGCCTTGCCGTCCATAAAGCAGCTCAACCTCAACCACAATCACCTGCGCTCTCTTGAGTGCCCTTTTGACGGACGGCGCGGCGTCGGTGCGGCGCCGGTGGGGAGGGGCGACTTTACAGGAAACCCAGCCCCTCCGCTGCCGCTGCGGCCGGCGCTCCCCGCCACCGCCGCCACCGCAGCAACAACAGCGGCGACGTCGCTGGAGGAGGAGGGGAGTGGGCTGCGCGGCCTGACCTCTCTCTCTCAGCTCCTCGTCAGCCACAATGAGCTGCGCACCCTGCGGGGCCTCTGTGGGGCGGCCCACACTCTCACCACCCTCATCGCCACCCACAACCACCTCACCTCGCTGGACGGGATGCAGGCGTGCCGGCACCTCACGTACATCGACCTCTCGCACAACGACATCGAGTCGCTGCGGGGCCTTCCGCAGGTGTGCGGTGTCACCCGAACCCAACCGGCACGAAGGACCTCAGCAACGGCGGCAACTTTGTTTTCGTCGTTGTCACCCGCCGTCGCCCACACGGACCCCGCACTGGAGCTGAGCTCGATCAACGAAGACACCGACACGTACTCCATCGCCTTCGCCACTTACAGGTCGTTGGGGGAGTCACCCTGGCAGCCCCCGCGCGTCGCAGCCGCTGGCCGCTCCATCAGCACAACCACGTCCATACAATTTCGCGTGGAGGACACCCCGACGGTGTCTGCGGACACGCCAGTCGCCTTCTCCATCCTTGAAGGCAACGCCGCCGCCGTCACTGCTGCTGCTTCTGCTGACCCTTCTCCATCTCACTGGTCCCTCCCCGGGGCTCAAGGGCAGGAGGAGGCGGCAGCGGAGGAGGAGGAGGAGGCGTCAGAGGAGGACAGCACGGATGTGGTGTTGATCCTCTCGCACAATCGCCTGCGTGGTCGTGCCCTCGCTGCCCTGCTGTGGGTAGACAGCGGCGATGCCTCGATAAGCCTGCCATCCGCCGAGGTGAAGAGAGGAGCACGGAGCGGCGGCCCGTCTCTCCTGCGTCCGTGGAGCACCGCGCTGACGAGCTTGGACCTCTCCCACAACTACATCGAAGACATCGACGATGTTCGTCGGCTCTTCGCCCACGTACCGTGGCCCGTCGCGCCTGCCCGGGGCGGACGATCTCCACCTCCGACTGCCGCGCCAACGAAAGGTGCGCCCCATGCAGAGGGCAACAGCGCCTGCGTGGTGAGCGCCCCTGTTCTGCAACGGCTGCGGCGTCTTGACCTGAGCGACAACCCGTGCCTGGTAAACGGGTCCCTCGCAAGGAGCATCATGGCGGCGCCGCCGTCGTCGTCCTCGCCGCCCGTCTCGGCCCCGCCGTCTGCTTCTCCCAGCGCACGTCGTGAAACCGTCCGGCCCAGCGACACGGCGCAGGCGAGGCGAGCCGTCGCCGCTTCACCCTTCGCGTTTCGCCTTCGGTTTTCTTCGCCCGCGCTGGCGGATGTCCTGCGCAGCTCGGCCTCTCTCCTGCGCGCAGCGACGTTCGAGCACCTCCCCTCCGCACAGTTGGCGATGGAGGCGGTGCTGCAGGCACTCGCGGACGACTGGCGGGACTCGCCACCGTCGCCACTGCTGCTGAGCCGCCCCGCTGCCGCAGCCGCACTGCCTGCGTCGCTCTTCGCCCTCTTCGCGCCGTCCACCACAGCGCCGACCCGTCAGCGGGCGACCCAGACGGTGCTCCTGCTGTACGGCGGGGAGGTGACGGTGTTGGCGGCCGCGCTGCGGCAACACGGCGTGCGTCTCGGAACGGTGCTCCGTGTGCCCACGGCTGCCCCGCTCGACAGGGCGGCTCTGTTCTTGTCGTCCGCACCTACGGCGGTGAGCCGCGCAGCGGACGGTCGTGACGCACCTCGGGCCGCGTCTACCGGCAGGAGAAGCCCCGTCCGTGCCATCAGCACCACCGCCGCCGTCGACGTCTTCTTGACGCCGCCGCCGAAGTGGGGCTCCGACACTGCGACGTCTACCACTTTTCTGCAGGCGAGTCTCCTCGGCGGTGGCAGCTCCCCGCCGCGCGCGGGGGAGCGCTCGCTGGAAGTGCAAAGCCGGGCGTCGTCGTCGACGCTGGCCGCCGCCACCGTCGTGCCGCGGCCGGCACCCCAGCGTGACCCACAGCGTAGTTCAGCAGAGCGGGGCGGCGGGCCGGACGCGGAGACGTCGACGGTGGGCTACCGCCTCCTGCAGGGCTGTGGTGCGGGTGGGGCGCAGCGGCCACCCACTGCAGCGCTCGCCGCCTCGGAGTCCACGCGGGACGGCGTGGCCGACGACGACGCAGACATGGCCGGCACGCACGAGGAGGACGCGGAGCAAGCGCCGGAGACGGCGAGTTCCGTTGGCCCCGTCCAGGCCGCCGTCACCCTTCAGCAGTACAAAGCGGAGGTCGAGGTCTTGCGCCGTCGCCTGCGCGAGCTGCAGCGGCATGAGGAAATTATTCATGAATGGCAGATGCAGGCTGTGGCGGTGCAGGCGGAGTTGGCGCAGGCGCAACACGAAATCCGACGTCTGCAGGCGGAGGTGCTCGCGCTGAACCCGGTGCGGGAGTTCGCCCCGTCGGCGGCGACAGCGGCAGCCAGCGCACGCCGCCCCTCCCGCCCCGGGGTGGGGTTAGGAGGCCTTGCTCCGGCAAGTTGAATTGGACGATTGGCGCTCTCTTTCTCGTACGCAGTCCCGCCTCCTGCGTAAGGGCGCCTGCGCCGTAGAGGGAGTGCCGCGATAGCAGTACCCCGCAAATCCCCCTTCTTTTTCATGTTTTTTTTCTTTCCTTTCGCACCAACCTCCCCTTGTCTTTTCCATATTTTCATAGAACGTTTTCCCCCGTTGTACCATTACGCCATCCACGACAACCGCAACGAAGAAGCTGGCATTCCATCCCGTTTATTAATCTAGCTTGATCCCCAGAAAACTCTTTCCGCCTTCGCATGTGCACCGCGGCTGCCCTTTTATGACCGCGCAGTGAGAGGAAATACAAAACGAGAACGCTGCACCGCTTTTATTGTCATTTCAAAATGAGGCCGCGGGGTCGGAGAGTGCGGAGGAGGGCAACATCAGCGAGGCATCCTCCCTCCCCCGCTCTCTGTTCACATGTACTCTCCCTCACACGTGACGGCGCAGAACTTCACGTGATGCATCGTTTGTCTTCCTTGGGGGACGTCTGCGCGATCCACTTTCTTCTGTCTGTGCCTCTCTCTTTCTTATCTTTTTTTTGGGGGGGAGTTTGCGTGTTGTTTCCCTCTGATCGTCTCGGCTCATCACCCACCCACACACGTACACGAAGTCCGCTCATCTCTTTACCCTCTTTATACCTCGTAGAAAACAGCCCGACAAGTCAGCTTCTACCGAGTTATTCTTGTTCCAATTCTTCAGGAGATTACGGCCGGCACACGTAGAAGGCGGGTCAAGATGGGTCACGATATGATGGATTACAACGTGCACGAGGGTCACCTCGAGGCCATGGTGCACGGCTACCGCGACGCCCTGCTCCACGTCGACGAGTACAACAACCTGTGCCAGTGCGACAACCTCGGCGACATGAAGAGCCAGCTGCAGGTGACCGACTACGGCAACTTCCTCCAGCAGGAAGGCTCGCTGACCTCGCGCATCATCGTGGACCGTGCGCAGGACGTGCTGCTGCGACAGTTTAAGGAGCTCCGTGCGTGGGCCGAGCCCCCGCTGTGCCAGTTTCTAGACTTCATCAGCTGCGAGTACATGCTGTCGAACGTCCTCAAGCTGATCGTAGCGAAGCGCAGCGGTCGAGCGAACCTGGAGCTGCTCACCAAGTGCCACCCCCTCGGCGTGTTCCCTGAAATGCCGACGCTGATTGCCGCCTCCGACGTGCAGGAGATGTTCGAGGTGGTGCTGATCGACAGCCCTGTCGGCCGCTTCTTCAGCGCCGAGGGCGGCTTCGAGCGCGACCTGGACGAGCTCTCCGTCGAGTACATCCGCGGCATCCTCATGAAGAACTACTACGAGCAGTTCTACGATTTCTGCTACAGCCTGGGCGGGGAGACGCGCGACGTGATGTGCCCGGTGCTGGACGCGGAGGCGGACCGCATGGTGCTCACCTTCACCTTGAACACGCTCGGCATGCGCGAGATCACGCCGGCGGACCGCCGCAAGGTGTTCCCGAACATCGGCACGCTCGTCGACATCCACGACGACATCGCGGAGAGCGAGAATGAGGAGCAGCTGCGGGACCGCCTGCGCCGCTTCCCGACCTACTACGAGTTGCTCGATGACGGCAGCCGTAACATCGACACGGCCGGCAAGAAGTCCCTCGAGCGCCGCTTCGTCGAGGCCTCCGTGACCATCTACAACGACGCCATGACCCGCCAGTTCCAGTACGGCATCTTCTACGCCTACGTGAAGCTGAAGGAGCTGGAGATCAACAACCTCCAGTGGATTGCTGATTGCGTGGTGCAGCAGATGCGCAATCGCCTGCACGAATACGTGAACACCGTGCCGTCGGCCATCTAAGGCGCCACACATACACACCGGGCTGGCAGCAGCAGAGACACGTTTAAAAGGTGCACCCGTGAAAAAGAAAAGTCCTCTACTACCATACATCTAATCATCGGCAACTTGATCTGTACTTTAGTATTATTACTATTATTATTATTATTATTTGAAAGTGCTTCTGCTGGTGCTTTCTCTGTTGTGCATCGAGCGCCTCCTCTGCCTTTGGTCCTCTCACCCGGACGTTGAACTGTTATCGAAGGTTTCTTCTTGTTTTGCTGAGTGTTATTTGCTTGTCGATAGACGCCGTGAGTCGCGCCGGACGGGAGCGCGCGTGCGCGGGGAGTTTGCCAAGCTGTGCTTGCCGCTGCTTCTGCCCCCGCCGGCTGCAATTTGCTGATCTGACTTGATGCGCTTTTGTTCTTGCTGTTGTCGCATTCTACTCTCCATAAGTTCCTTTTTCTCTTTTGTTGTTGTTGTTGTTGTTGTCTTTGGCAGCTGCGCGTGCTCGGCCATTTGTTTTTGTGTACTCGCCGTTCATCGTGTTGCCCTTCCTCGCCGCTTCTCTGTCGCTTTGCGGTTCATTGAGCTGACGTTGCGCGTTGTGAACGTACGTGCCGCTGCGGCACAAACGAATCGACCCTGAACACACACCTGCGTGGCAGAAGAGGGAGGAAGGAGGGGAGGGACGTCTTCCAGAATTATTTCCTCAGACTCACGCGGATTTGCCCTCCTCATCGTGGTTTCTTTTTTCTTCGTTAAATGGGAGAGCGGGTGACGGAGCACGGGTCATGCAGCCGTGTACGAAGTGCGCTGTCCCGGCAGTGCAAACGCGCTCCATACGAGCGAAGGAGCGACAACGCCCGGATGCCTTCGTCTTCTTTCACTTCCGTCTGTCGTTGCGGCCTGCGCAGAGGCGGCGATGGCACGCACCGCGCCTGAGTTGCCCTCTTTCAAGGAAAAAACTACGTCGCCTGCTGTGCCGACCGGCGCATCTTCTCCTCTTCCTGCCATCTCTTCTGCTCTCCTTCCCTCACGCTGCCTTCCTTTTAAACGCAACTACTTGCTCTTTGCAGTGCAGCTCACGCAGCAAACTTACAACGAGGACCATGAAGTCTTTCTTCTCCAAGTTCACGTCGAAGATCAAAACGAAGCAGACGCCGCGGGCGCCGTGTGACTGCAGCGACTTCCTCGAGGCCGTCGTGGACGCGCCGACGCTGTCGCACCTGCGCGGGGTGGTGGCGGCACGACACTTCGGCCACGCGCCGGCGCCGGTGTCAGACGCGGAGCGGGCACACCGCGACTTCGTTGTGCGCAGCACCGTCTTCGACCTGCACCACCGCTGCGGCGCCGGCGGTCGCTGCACCTGCGCCGGCGCCCCGGCCTGCCGCTTCCCGCAGTGCTTTACGATGCGGCCGGTGACGAAAGGGGCAGAGGTGCAGGCGGAGCGGCAGGTGTACGAGGTAGAGGACGCGCCGACGGCGGAGATACGCGCGCTCGTCGCCCTCGCCGCCGAGGAGAAGCTGGAGGAGGCGGTGAAGGGCATCCAGCACCTCGTGGACGCGCAGCTGAAGGTTGCCGCGGCGGGGCGGCCGCTTGAAGCGCGCCTCGTCATCGACGGCTCGGTCGGCCACGAGTTCATCCCCAGCGCCGCCAAGACCGGCGGGGACAGCGCGCACAGCGGCGCCAACCCGCTGCGGGAGAGCGAGGATGTGCGCGAGGAGGTCATTTCGTTGTACCTGTGGCGGGCCGCGCTGCTGGTCAATCTGCGCCGTGACGAGCAGGCGGTGTGCTCGCTGCTGAACCTGGCCTTCGTGTTGGAGGAGAAGCACCGCACGCGGCTCTACGGTGCCGCCGCGGCGTGGGCGACGCTCAACGACATGGAGATCGTTTACTACCGCAGTCTTGTCAAGACGCATGAGCCGTTTGCGCGCGCCATCGCCTTCGCGACGGAGCGGCCGCTGCTGCTCGCGCGCGTCTTCGAGGCGACCCGCGGCGACGACTACCACACCGACTTCTGCACGCACATCGTCTTCTCGAAGGAGGTGACGGCGACGGTCACGCGAGCGCAGACGGCGCAGATGCACGGCGACACCACCGAGGATCCGATGCGCAGCCTGTGCCTGCCGCTCACCATGCCGTACTACCGCTTCCGTGTCAGCGAGGAGTTCTGGCGCCGCTTCTACGCGCTGCTCTGCATGCCGCCGGTGCCGCCGCCCACCGCCGAGGAGCTGCAGGCGCAGGCGGCCGACCCCGTCGCGGAGCTCGGGCTGACGCCTAACTACATCCTCGACGCCGTCGGCCGCAGCATGATGCTGCATCACCTCGTCCTGTTCGCCGACGTGCGTGATAAGGAGATCGACTCCGGCGCGGTGGTGGACCGGGTGAGGCGGATGAAGCAACAGGACATGGAGCCGCAGCCGTCCGATTACGACCCGGTGCTGACGACGAGCGAGATGCATGTCGCGGTGACGCGGATGAAAGAGCTGCTGATGGTGGTGCGCTCCTTCGAGGAGAAGGAGAAGGCACGCCTGTCCGGTGAGACGGCGCAGCGCCTCCAGGGCCCGCCTCGGCCGCCGCAGGGCACCACCTCACCCGTCACCACCAGGTGAGATGTCCCGTAAAGGTGGGAAGAAGCTTTTTGTTTTTGGTTTTCTTCTGTCGTCGCTTACCACCTTACAAATGCGCTCGTCTGCCGTGACGGCGTTCACTTAACCCGTGGCTTTGAAACCGCAATGAAAAGACTGAATGATCGCCGCACCTCCCCTTTGGTGGCCCGCAGGCGCGGCGTCGTCGCCCGTGAAGGTGCACGCGGCGAAGGAAAACAAGACGGACTGCGCTTTCGGGCCCTTTTGCGCGTTCCTCTGTCATGCGCTCCTTTTCTTCTCCTCTCCCGCCTTCTCTTCGGTGTCGCGGCGGCGCTGTCTGGCTTGCTGCCGCCCTTCGGCCTGCGGCCTATGCGGGGGCCCTGGGGCGGCGGCTTTGGTGGGCGTGGGGGGTGCCCCGCCGGCCAACCCCTGGGCCAAGGGGGCAGGCGGGGCCGGCGGCGAGCTGGGCGAGAAACGAGGAGGAAGGAAAGGCGAAAGTGGCACAGCCGAGGCGAGACACACACACCTCTTAGAAAAGCCGACGCCGCCATTGCCCAAGTAAACGCAACGGGGGCGAAGCACAATGCGTCCCGCAGAGCGAAGGGGTCTTCTCTTCCAGTCGTCCTTTCCGCTTTTTCTTTCCTCTTGGCTTTCTTTTTTTTCTTCTTTGGGGGATTGATACTTCTACAGAGGCTGAGCGCTTGTTCGCCAACTCGGCGTCAAGAGCAACAGCGACGTCTACATGAGGGGGTGAAACAAATACGAGAAGATATAGAAGAGGGGAGGGGAAAAGAGACTCCAACACGGCAAATCAAAAAGCAGAAAAGAAAGAAAGAAAAAAAAAAAACAGAGATCAAGACAACAAGAGAAGCAAATCATCGCGAAGTCAAAGGCGACTCAAAACGACAGCGGAAAACACACACACAACACAAGAACAGGCAGTCGAGCAAGTGCCGCGAGGAACGAGCGCGGCAGCTTGGAGACTCTTGTTTTCCTGGGCCTACATAAACCGCACTTGGCCAGGTGATGCGCTGTTGAACGCCACGACGTCATCCTCCGTGTACGTATACGGGTTGACAGCAGGGGCTCTACCACCGGGGCTCTCGTTGGTGTATCGCCTTCCCGCAGCCGCAGGCGGGGCGACGGCGCTGTTTCCATTCCTCGGCGGCACGGATGACGCAGCACCCTTCGCTTTCTCCTTCCTCGCCGCGTCGGCCTCGTCGTGCAGCTTCTCCAGCACTTTGACGTCGTCGTCGGACAGTCCGGAAGGCGGTGCCGTCTCCCACATGCGCCGCTCACGCGGTTGCAGCCGCACCGTGGCGGCCTCCCAGCCGCAGCACATCACGAGCACCACGACAATGGCGCCCAGGAGAAGGCCGCCGATGGCGGTCAACACGCTCATGTACGGCTCGTAAAAAGACGTGGTGGTGACGGCGCCTACGTTGGCCGCTGCGCACAGCAGCGTGCATGCCGCAGCAGCCAACAGCGTGTGCTGTACACTTCGCATAGCACGGCAGGGGCCTCAGAGGCAGTGGGACGGAGATGGGGGAATATGTATTTATAATCAGCTTTGTATGCGCAAAACGCAATGACAAAAGGAAGCAGACAAAATCTACTGGGAAGCGACACAGCGCGCTGCGGTGATAGAGGTGGGGAGGAGAGCGCAGAGGGAAGGCGAAAGGAAGAGGTACATCAACACACACACACACACACATACGGTGGGTGTGGAGAGGGAGAGAGAGCGAGAGAATGGAAGAAACGAATTCACTGCGGAACCTTCACGCACGCATGCGCAGTTCCATTCAGAATAGAGGAGTAGAGCTTGTGGCGAGGCGAAGAAGCGTTATGCTGCCCATTCGAGAATAAAGAAAGGCGGCAAACGTTGGCAGGACACGACGGAGGGGAATTGTCCTGTGTTTCCTCTTGTGTATTCGGCCCTTCTCACCGCCGCATGATCACTGCTGTGTCCTACGGCGCCTCAGCCCTTTTCGAAGTGACGTACTTTGATTCGTGTTGGACGACATCGCGCACCGACAAAAGCGACCCAACAACCCCAACACCACACCAAGCCAAACAAGGAACGAGTAGAGGTACAATAAGAACGGCGAAGAGCGTACAAGCTTTAAGAAAAACAGAAAAAAAAAATGAAAAAGATCTAAAAGATGTTTAAAGGAGGAAAGAGTTCTCCCTCCTTCTTTCTTCGTTTAATCGTAAGCATGCGTACAGTGGAGAAACGTTGACGGCGCGTAGTTTAGCCGCGCCCAAGTTGCTCCGTAGGGAGGGGATATATGCTTGCTCGTGTGTGCAGTAGCAAGTCCTGCTCCGGCTGACCCGCCTACCGCCCCTTTCCCCCGTACTGAGGGAACTGCGCAGAAGCTGTTGCGCGAAAGAGAGAAGGCGACACGCATTAAACCCCCTAAATGCGCACGTTGAGCGCGTGCGTGAATCAACAAACAGAAACAAGTAGAGAAGGAAGAAGGAGTCGCACGCACGGAAGAAGGAAAGATCCTTTAGAATGAATACGACATCGACTCACAATAAGAGCAAGAAAAATAAAAATAGAAGTGCGGGGCGGCGGTACATCTAACGGCGAGAGATGAGCTGCGATCCACTGCGAAAGCCGGCTGCTGCGGCGCATTCTCAACTCAGTTCTAACACACATACACACAACGTAGCAAACAACATCACGACGCTCCTTGAAGCAACGAATGCGGAAGTGCATAAGCGACGAAGGAGAACAAAAGGGGGGGGGGGTACATCGTTGTCTAGACACAGTCGTTTAGGGAGGCGCGTCACTGTGCCACGTCGACTTTCAGAGTTAAAAAGCAACAACACCAAGCCAACTACACACATGCGAAATGACATCCGCTTCGCCCGCACCGGCACACCCCTGCTTAGTCGGGTGCGAAGGACTCCAGGAGGGACAGCACAGCATGGTCCGTCATCCCTTCACCGTTGTCGTCGTCGTCCTCCACCACCACCGGAGGCTTGTCGCTGTCATTGTCAGAGGGTTCAGCAAAGACGCGGTGATACGGGAAATCATCCGGAAAATGCACGTTCTCCATTGGCTGCAGCGATGCGGCGACGGTCGGCGCTGACGCGGTGGTGGGCGACGGTGTCGCGGCCGCGGCCGTGGTGAACATATTGGGCCACCCGAGGGGTGCTGCGGCTGGCGCCTGCTGTGCTGGTGGCTGCTGGGCCGCCTCCAACGCCTTCACCGCGGCTGCCACGTCGTCGGCGGTCACCGCCTCGGCGTAGGTTTCGATGGTGTGCTGCGGCCGGATGAGGCCGAAGAAACACGGCGCGGTGCGGGTGGCGTCGGTGGGCTGCTGGTCGTGGATCGGGTTGCGAGCCTGGCTGGTGCGGGTGCTTCGCAGCATGTTCAGCTCGGCCTCGTCGAAGGCGACCTCGCCGGGGCTGCGCAGAAAGTCGAAGGCGGTCGGGGTGTGCACCTCGTTGCGGAAGAACTCCACCATCGCCCGCGCGCTGCCCGCCTCCACGAACTCCACGAAGCCGAAGCACAGCTCGTGAAATTTGAGCTGATGCGCCGCGACCGCCTCGGCTGTGCGGCCGCGCGTCGTCTCCTTGTCGTCGTGGCACAGCCGCACCTTTCGAAAGTCACCGAAGTGCAGCAGCAGGCGCCGTACCTGCTGCGAGGTGAAGCAGGAGGGCATCTTCGTGATGTACACCGTGCACTCCGTCATGGCCGCGTCGGAGCGCTCAACCGCCACCGCGGCGGACGTCGCGGAGGCCGCCGTCGCCGACACCGCCACGACGGAGACGGTCGGCGCTGGCGACGCGGAGGACGGCTGCGTGGTGGTGCCGCAGACCCGCGAGCCCCAGGCGAAGCGCATGCTGGGGTGCTGCGGCGAGAGGACAACGGGGCGCAGGGCGCTGCTGAAGGGGCCCACCGTACTACTCTCCACCGAGAAATCGGAGGCGCCCTGTGTGTAGTCGCTGGCTGGACTGGAGAGCATGACCTGCGGCGCGACCGCACCGCCGCCGTGCCCCACCGGGGTGCTCTGCTTTCCTTTCCAGTCGCTCGCCGTGGTGCTGTACGACTTCGACACCACCCGCCGCGGCGTCGGTCGCGCGCTCGGCGTCACCAACTGCGACTTCTTCGCGCCGTTGCCCGAGCCGGAGCCGGAGCCGGAACCCGTGCCGGTGTCGGCGCCCTCCGCGCTGAGCTCCAGTGCACCGTTGCGCGGCGTGCACGCCTCGGCGCCCGCCTCCGCCTGACCCGCCGACGCCTTCACTGGGCTCTGCGTCGCGTGCGGGTTGGTGCAGCGGAAGTCGCGCACGAAGCGCTCATAGTCCGCACGGGCGCTATCCTGAGCGTACAGACGCGCGTCGAGTGACTTCCACACCCGCACCATCTCGTGCAGCGCGTCCATCAGCGTAATCCACGGCCGGTGCCGGCGCTCCTCCGCGACGCTGGACGGCACGTCCGCCTCGCGGCACAGATAATCTCTCGCCGCCTGCAGCTCCGCGCTGCAGTTCTGGAAGAGGACCGTGGCGAAGGACAGCGGCGTCTTGGGGAGGTAGGTGTACTGGTACAGGTACGCGCACTGCACGGCCGCAACAATGCGTGTCTGCCGCGCCGCCGCCGTGTCGGCCACCAACATCATGAAGGTGCGGCCGATCAGCTGGAGAAACATCACGGCCTTCTTCACACCAGCGGAGGTGTCAGCTGGGCTGGGCGGCGCCGTGCGGGTGCGAATGCCGAGAGTGCTGTGCATGGTGCGGAAGGCGCCGGAGAGGGGGCTGGAGAGGATGGGAGCGTGGTCCCCCTTCGATTGGAGGACGTCGCGGAGGGTATCGGCCAACTTCTTCGCCTCCGCCTCGCCGCTGTCGTTGCACAGCACCAACGCGCACATGTCGGCGGCCAGCTGGCTGTCGCTCACGGCCTTGGCGCGGAGCTGCCGCTCAATGGCAAAGAGGAGGGCCGCGGCGGAGTTGACGGGCGGGATGGCGGTGGCGCCCTCCACGCCAGACGCGCTCGCCCGCGGCGTCGAAGCAGAGGCGAGCAGTGCGCCGTGCTGCTGCGGCGGGGGCTCCCGCCTGTCACCCGCCGTCCCCGTCGCCGCTGCCGAAATGGTGGCCACGTCCAGCGGCGGCGTCGGCGTGCGGTCGAGGAAGCGTGCGACGACCGGCCGGCGCTGCCCGTGCGGCACGAAGTCGTTGATCTTCTCCGCCGCCTCCATGGCCATGCCTTTGGAGGCAAAAATGGCGACGCCGCTGCAGCGCAGCTTGCCGTCGACGGAGACCGGCCGCGGCAGCAGCTCGGAGACCTGCGCGCCCATCGGGTAGAACATCTTGTAGAACGACTTGGCGCTCGTGCCGTAGGCGAGGTTGTGCACCCCGACGAGGTAGACGTTGTCGCCGGCGTACTTAAGCAGGAAGTGCTGGTCGATGGCGTCGTAGGTGCTCGCGGCGGCGGCGGCGGGGCTGCCGAGGCGGTCCGGCGGCGGCGCGGAGGTGGCGGCGGCTGGGTCGCGGAAGTTCGACGGCGGCGTCGGCCGCAACACACTCGACGGGCTCGCGGCTTTTTTAGCCGTCGACACCGGCAGCGGCGGCACGGTGGGCAGGGCGGCCGGCGTGCCCGAACCGCAGTAGCGCACGACCAGCGGCTGGTGCTGCCCGTGCGGCACGAAGTCGTTCACCTTCTCCACCCCGACCATTGCAAAGTCCTTGCGAGTGAAGAAGACTGCGCCGGCGCGCTGGCGGACGAGGTTGAAGGCGTTCGCCAGCGGCTCCGGCATTTGGCGCGCCTCGAGCACCTCCGCTTCACGCGCCCCTGTCGGAAAGAACATGCTGCTGAGCTGCTTGTTGGTCGTGCGGGGGTGCAGGTGGAAGACGGAGACCATGTGCAGACCCTCCTCCTGGCACTTGCGGTCGTACAGCTCGTGCATGTACGCCTCAGTGAACTCGACAAGTCGAGCGCTGTCCAGCGTCTCGGCCAACGCAGCCGCCGGGGCCGACGGCGAGGGGGAGGGGCTGTGGGGGCTTCCGGGGGGCCGGCCGGGGAAGTCGCGCGTTGTGGTGGGTCCCCACCGCGAGGGAGTAAGCGTGGCGGCGGCGGCCGGCATGGCGAAGAGGGAGCCTCCGAACGACGGGGTGATGCAGAATTCACGCGCCTCCGGGTTGAGGGCCGCCGTGGGTGCCGTCTTCGCCGAAGCTGTGGCGTTGGTGAAGGGCGTGTCGTTGCTTGAGGTGACCACAAAGGAGGGCAATGGACTGTAGTTCGACCGCCCGCTGCGCGGCGTGCTGTGAGAGGAGCTGGAGGCGGCAAACATGACGGAGGAGCTGCAGGTCGTAGTAGCGGTAGCAATTCTTTTTTTTTTGGAGAAAAAAAGGTTCGCCGTTTCCCTTTATCAAAGAAAGCCGGAACGAACCAACGAAATACCTCTCCAGTTGCGCGTGGTTGGTGGAGGAAGCGATGCAGTCCTTGTGCACGGAAAAGAAAGAAAAATGAGAAAAGAAAAACGTGTGCGGGTGCGTATATATATATGCGTACGTGCGTGTGCGATGGAGCTTGTATACGTTTATATGCGTGCGCGCAGTGCCGTGGTTAAAGGCGCTGTGCTGATACACGCGTAGAAACTCACAGCCACCTTTTATCGTACTCTCCCTTGCCTACAAAAGAAAGAGGGAAAGCAGAACTCGAAAAAAAAGACTACGAGCGAGAAAAAGCAAAAGAGCAAACAAGCCTTCAAAGTACGTCTGGTGTGTGCGTGTGTGTGTGTTTTTTTGTGTAGGGGTCTTGGTGCAGCCGCAAGCGATGTCCAGGGGAGACAGAGAAAGGCTGTGTTTGGTGTGCGTTTGTGCGGGGTATCTAGGCAGTATTAAAACAATAATAATACTAAAGAATTACTAGAGAAGAAAGTGTGCGGTTAAAATGAAAACAAAAACCCATATATTCCTTTTTGGATCGAGGTTGGTAGTGCGTCGCGGAAAGGAGTCAACAACAACAGAAATCACCGAAGTAGAGAACAGCGAAGAATAAAAAAAAAAAGTAGGAGGCCCGTCCAATGGCCGCTACGGTTAAACTGAAGCTGCTTGTGTGCGGATCACCAGAGCGCGGATCTAGAACTCAGATAGGTGTATGCCTTCGCGCGACACAGGTAAAAGGGTCAACAATCACTGTAAGAATAAGAAAGAGTGATTCAATAGTTTACTCTGCTGGAACGCGTAGGTGCTGGTGAATGACGAAGAAAGGAAAGAAAAAAGAGAGCGGTGAAGGAGAGTCGTAAAGGTACAAAAGTAAAAGGCGAGAAGAGAGAAGGAGAGAAAGAAAAACACTACGCTTGCGTGGTCTAAGAAGAACGAAAGCGCTGGAATTCAATAAACATAAAATAATTTTAATAAAAAGAAGATATATATATATATATAAACAACGAAACACAAACACGAAGAAGAGCGAATAGATCGGGACAGCAAAGGTAACAACAAAATGGCTGAAAAGCCAACGGCTTGTACACGACAACGAGCGTCTTGCGCTGCAATGGCGTGGCGACAGCGGTGATGCGAGTAGAGAAAGGAGAGCAACCACCGTTTGAGCGCGGAGACAAATGAAAAGTAAAACGAGGCAAACACCGCGCTACGAGAAAACAACCATACAGAAAAATAAATAATCAATTCAGGGCAGGAGATGCGAGAAAGAAAAAGTGTATGCGTGTTTACAGAGGTGCGGTTGTGCTCGTGAGTGCGGGGTATATGGAACGTTGTATATGTGCTGGTTCGTGGCGGCGCTCTATCCGTGCTTGAAACTCAAAATACTAATAAAAAACAAAAATAGTTGAAAAGAAGTAAAGAAACGACACACGAAGCTGCAGCAAGGAGGCAATGACGGGGGGAGAAGGTGGAAGAAGAGAAGGCGAGGACAATTCTGGTTGTTTATCTTCCGTATGAATGCTTGTGCTTCACAAAAGAAAACAACAACAACAAAAACGAATCGAAGGCGGGGAGATCGCACACGGGCGAAGTACTCCAAGCTGGTTGCGAGAGAAGAATTGTCGAAGGAGGCAAAAAAAAAAAGAGGCCGAGGTGAAAACCTCGTTGGACGGATCTCTGCGACGTTTTGCTGTGAGCGCACAGGGATAGGTGTGACAGCATGCGCAGTGCAATGTAATGGCGCACAGAAGTGCAGCAGCGATGTGCACATATGCGGTTGTGCGTGAGGGGAGGCCCGATGTGCGCAGGTTACAGGAAAAGGCAGCAACGACAACAGAAGGCAGGACAGCAAGGACGAGAATGTAAAATGCAGCATCGATTCTGCTCGCATCGCTGCGTCGCTGAGCGGCAAAGGGCTCGCACGTTGAACTCCTCCCCACGCCATCCACCTTTTTCGCACATTGCAACCCTGTGCTGCCATATATATATATATATATGTAAGGGTATAAGAAGAGCTGCGAGGCGGAGGCGTGGGCGATCAGCAGCAATGAGTCCAGACAAGAAACCAGTGGTTTCACCGATCCGCCCCTTCATTTGCCTATTGGGCCATCTGTAAGAGAGATCTAAACGTGCTCCTGCTGTGCATGGTGCTTAAGTGGTTTGACGAAGGTGTCTTGATAGGTCATCACTCGCGTTCTTTCGTATTTTTATATTACATGTAATCTCCTCTTGGACCTTTTGCTTGCCCTCCCGACTGCAGCACACCCAAAGGCGGCACGACACAGTTGTGCGAGCGGCTGCACCCCGCAACGGGCGGAGGCACAGACACACACACACACGCTTACACAAATGCCATTTCGGTGAACCGACAGGGCACGATGAAACGAAGGAAAGGCGCACTCCCCGCTTTCTGCACAGCCGTCGTGATATCAGGAGAGAGAGAAAAATATATACTAAAAGAGAGAGAGAGACAATGAGCGGTGTCGGCTATGTACATCCGGCGGCACCAACACCGGCTCTCCTCTGCATTTCACTGCAGAACACCACACACACACGCATGTCGACCAAACAGACAGCATTCGTTGCACAGCACATCTATTTTTCATTTATTCATCACTGGCTGCCTTAAAAACACCTTCAGCAAATCAATTCTTCGCGGTGTTCTGCGTCATGAAGCGGTCGTAGAAGTCGTCCTCCTCCTCCGACTCGCCGTCGTCCACGGCGGCTCCTTGCTTGGCGCCGACCTTGATCATAATGTACACGTGGTAGTGCCCGGTGGGGCTAGCCGTGGACGAGGTCAGCATCGGCTTCTCCAGCAGCTTGTGCTCCACATCAAAGTTCAGCTTCTTGCGGCGAAAGTGGTCCATGCGCGTCTCGGGAGATCCGTAGGAGACGACGACGAAGCGGCCGCCCCGCTTCAGCAGACGCGACATGTTTTTGTTGAAGATGTAGAGGTTGTGGAAGGAGTTCGCCCCGCCCAGGATGCTGTCGACGAGCCCCTTGTCCAGGATAAAGTCATAGAGGTAATCGTTGGGGCACAGCTCCAGCATCAGCTTCTCTATCGGGGTCGTCAGCAAGTCCGCGCAGATCCACTGCATCTCGTTCATCTCCGAGTAGCGGCGCTGCATCTGGCTAACGACGGTCGGCGAGGCGTCCACATTGGTGATCTTCTTGATGTTCAAGTTCTCATAGAGGCTGGCGGAGAGACGGCTGTTGCCGCAGCCGACGACCAGCACACGGATTTGCTCCGCTGGCTGCAGAAGTGGGCGCAGAATCGTCTGCAAGTTGTCGTAGGTGACGAACCAATCGAAGGTGGTGTCGTTGCTGCGGTAGCGGTCCTCCCAGTACTCAGGATTGGCGTACTTGGACATGGTGAGCACACCACAGTAAGATGGAAGTGCAAGAGATGACTCGTCCGCGGCGGGCTGAGCAGGGAAGCGCTGTCCTTCGTCGTTGTGACTCGATGCCAGATACTCTGTGCGGGGTTCCGCAGATCGCTGTCAATTCTCAAGCTGTAAAAAACAGCAAAATAATTAAAAAAGGAAAGACAACACACGACGTGGTTCTTTTTTTCTTGTCCTTTACTTCTTATTTTCCCTTCCTCGAGTTGCTGCGGCGGTGTGGCGGTTAGCGTTGAATGGGCAGAGCGCACGGAGAAGGGAGAGAGACGGAATCAAAGAAAAGAGTGGAGGTGGAAAAGGAAGTGTACGCCTCGTAGCCAGCCTCAGCAAACAACAGCAGGGAAACCGCATTTTGAGAGAGGCGCTGCGAGAGAGCTGTCCACTTCCGTCTCTTGAATGGCTGCTTAGCCGCTTGGCTGATAAGAGGCGCGTTCACGCTAGTGGGCGAGCCCGTTTAGCAGTAGTACTACCTTGCGATTTCACCAGACGCAGAACGGCAGCACCTCCCTTTAGCACCGTTTCCTTTTTTCTTCTTTCCGCGTGCGGTTACACGGACGATTGGGGCGTCACGTAGCGATGAACATAAAAAGAAAACAGCAAAACATCAAAGACAGCAAAAGGCGAAGGTATGGCTGTCTCCGTATATATATAGAACGGCCACAATGTGAGTTGTCCTTCCTTGGCTTTACAGCGCAACGTGAAAAGTTTCGATGCACTCCAACGCACACGCGAACAGGCACAGGCAACAACAACAACGACACAAAAAAAAAACACGCCTAATCAATCCAACAGTACATCTATGATTTCTATGATAGTGCGGCTGCTAACCGCCTTCTATGCATTTTCTGGGAGTACGACCATCTGCGCTCCGACCTTTCAAACTGTCCTTTCACTCTATGGCTGTACAAAGATATACATATATACATATATACATACATATATATGTATGGAAAGTGCCACCGTGTGGAAAACACCGAAGGAGGCCAACTCGGGTCGGTAGTGGGCAGGAGAGCAGGCGGAGGGAAAGGACGCGGAGGGAACACGAACCCACGTCGTAACCCGCTGCACCCTTCTCGCCCTCCGCTTTTCCCCACACCGGAAACAAAAATAAAAACCCAAGGAAGGAGGTAACAGCAAGGAAATCGAACAAGAGAATAAAACGGAAAGGAAGAGCATATTGAGATTCAAAAAAAAACCACAAAGCGGCGCAGCAGTTCGCCGTCCGGGTAGCTGAGTGGAAGCGACAGCAGACGACACATCAACGATATCAGTAATTAATAAAAGGGCGAGGACGTGGCACGAAGCACACCTTCACGTTGCTTAAGCAGTCGCCAAGAAACTCACCGCAGTTTCGTTGAGTTGCACCGTAACCTCGCCGAGCTCCGTGCGTTGGTGTGCGGACACGTACTGCTTGGAGGCCAACGCCAGCACATCCACAAACGTCCGCGCGGCGTCGCGGCGGCGGAGGTGGCGGCAGATGTCCTGCACCGTGCAGCTCGCCCCCACCAGCGACGAGACGGGCACCTTCACGCGCGTCTTTTTGCGGCTATCGGCCGCGGCGCGGCTCGATAGCTCCGTGCGGAGGCGGCCCAGCGTCTGCCGCACACTGGCCGAGAGGCCGGTGGTCTCCTCAACGTTGTCGTCGCGGCCGCGTTTGCGCTGTGACGGCTGCAGGCCCGCCTCGTCCACCGCGGCGCCGGCGTCGTGCGCGAAGTCGTCGTCGAGCGCGCGCAGTCCGCCCTCCTCCTCGTTGCGGAGGGGCGGCGGCGCCGTCTGAGAAGCGCGGGCGGCCTCGGCGGCGGCCTCCGCGACGCTCTGCAGCAGGGCGGCCGTGTACGCCAGCCGCAGCGTCTCGCCCATCACGATGGAGAGCGGTGCCGCGCCTGTGGCGGCGACGGCCGCGGGGTCGGTCGGGTTCGGTGCGCCGCCGATGGTGTAGCGGTCCGCCTCCTCCTGCGCGTCGTACGGGCCGCGGCGCGGCTCGCTGTTCACGATGTCGCTGCGGTCGACCATGCACTTCTCAAACGCCTCGCGGGACAGGGTGGTGGAGTTGAGGTCGAGCACGTTCACCACGCGCGGCTTGCGGGCGGCGCGGGAGAGACGGGCGGGCGCCTCCTCATCGGCGGTCATCGTGTCGGGCAGCAGAAAGGGGTCCATCGGCAGCGCACCCGCCATCGCGCCGCCGTCCATCGCGGGGAAGCCGATAGGGAGCTCGTCGGGCAGCGGCACGCCGATGTCGAGCTCGTCGCCCATCGCCGGGTAGGGCAGCCCGTTGGCGTCCACAGCGACGCTGCCACGGCCCTTCTCCATGCTAGCGAGGCTCGACTTGCTCTTACTCGTGCTGGCGCTGCCGCTGGCCCGCTCCCCAAAGGCCATCAAGTCAGCCCGCATCTTTGCGATCTCGTCGTAGTCTTGCTGCGTGTTGTGCAGCTCTTCGGCCGCTTGTGAGGTTGGCTGCACCGTGTACCACGCCGACGCCAGCAGGCCGTCGTCCTTCTCTCCCCCGTCGGGGCCCTCGATGCGCTTGCCGCTGCCGAGGAGGTCCGCGATGGCGTCAAAGCGGCCTTCGCCGAGAGCGTCGGCGGCGTCACGCGCGGCGCCGTGCTTCGCGGCCACCTCTGCATCCCAGTCGAAGGTCACCGCCTCCATATCGCCCGTCTGCGGCACGAGGACGCCGTCGATCGACGTAGTGCGCTGCTGGCCGGAGAGGGCCGCCCGGCTGCCTTTCGTGGCCAGCGTCGTCACTCGCAGAAAGAGAGTCGCCTCAGTGGCCTCCTTCAGCAGGTGCTTCACCTTCAGCGCGTAGATGCGCACCACGCCGACCAGCAGCTCGCCGGAGGTGCGGAGGGCGATGGGGACGACGGGGCGGACAATGTGAAGGATGGTCTGGCTGAGGTCGACGATCTTGACTTCGTTGCGCGTGAGGCGCTTGTCCCAGTGGGCGGCGAGCCAGACCTTCGCCAACGGGCCCTTCTTGGTGAGCACGTAGGTGGAGAAGAACATGGCGCCAATATCTGAAGCGGTGTGGGAGGAGGTTGCAGTTGATATTTGGGTATCTTTTTTAATATATTATGTGTGTGTTTTTTTACGCGTTGGCACTCTGTCTCCGTTGCTCTGTTTTACCGCCGTCAGCAAATCACGTAAAGCAAGAAGCAGAACAGCAAAAGGTGACTTCTATGATTTGATGTGGTGTCTATGGTGTGCCTCCAGAGCCGACCAAACCGGTGTGTGTGTGTGTGTGTGTATGTGTGTGACTGAGGGAGGAGTGTGAAGCAGAAAGTTCTTCTTCGTCCGAGTTTTTTATTCAAAGGAGTTCCAGCGTTTACGTCTCTTCTCTTTTATCTAGTTGACGCCAAATGCGGCCCGCACAGAGCAGAGTTGAGCGGAAGGTGATGAAGAGCAAAGAAGAGGAAGAGGAGGGAGAGAGAGAGGACGCAGACAGAGGGTGGGGGCACAGCAAGGAGCAGCGAAGCGAAGAAGATGTGGCATAGTGGCGCCACACGGAGGAAGGGCAACTTTCTAGCGTTCAAGTATCGCAGCTATAAAGCGCTGAGATGCCTCTCGGCTGCTTCTCCTCCGTATCTTTGTGTGCTCATGAATGAGGCAGTCTCGTTAGGGAAAGGAACGCATGAAGGAAAGTTTTGCGGAGAGAAAACGACGACGTGGGGGCGAGGCTTAGGAATGACCCCCCCCCCCGCCCACTTCATTTACGCTCCCTACGGCGTGTGCTCCTCAAACACAATAACCGTAGCACCACTCGTTTAGAATTTACCTTCTTGCGAAACATTGTTTCTGATGAGCTTGAGAATTCCTTTATACATCGAAAGTAAAGAGAAGGGCTCGACTTACTTACATCCACTGCGACAACGGCACGCGCTTCTTTTCTTCGTTGTTCGTTGCATGCGTGTTTGAGCGACCCACTACGCTAACATCCGCGCGCTGGTGCTTCCATCTTCAAAGCGCGTACCTTCTCAGATTCGCTTTGCCGTTCTAGTGCTCTGCTTCGGCCTCGTCACGGCGTGCCCTCGCGTCGTACAGCGGCTGCAACTCCGGGCGGGGCTCTAGCGCCGGCGGCGGCGGCGTCGGCGGGCGCTGCGGCGCCGTCGTGGCTGCCGGCAGCGTATGTGCGGCACGGCGCTGCTCTATCTGGGCCGCCGCCGTCGCCGTGATCGCATCGGTGGAGAGGCGCGCCACCTCCGGCAGCGCCACCGCCTCGTACGTCGCGGAGCTGCCTTCCTCGGTCATCTTCTGCAGCTTGCCGTGGAGCTGCGCCATCATGTCCGGGTGGACCTGTTGGGCGTAGAGCCACACCGACTCCTCGGCGCTGCTGTGCATCGGGTCGCTCCGCACGGGCGGCATCAAAAGCGCCATCGTCTTGGTGGAGTCGAGCTGCAGACGCAGAGCGCGGCCCACGCTGGACACGACGTCACCGTCGACGCGGGTATCCTCGCCGATGCGGATGAAAGGCAGCCGGCTCTGCGTGGCCGTTTTCTCCAGCAGCACCACCGCGCCCGCCTCCGTGTCTGGCGTGCGGAGGAGCACCACAAGCCGTGTGGTGGGCGGCCGAAGCGTCACCGTCTCGTCCGGGAGGTGCACCCGCTTCCCGGCGATGTCCACGAGGATGGGCAGGATGGTCACCTCCGCCACGACCCCGACCTCCGCCGCATCGTACCGCATCGACTGCACCTCCACGCCCTTCAGAGTCACGCCGTGCTGGGGGTCCTTCTCGGGCGGCGGCAGCGCGGCGACCCACCGCAGCAGGGGCGGGAAGTTCGCCACTTTGATCAGGTCCGCCATCGTACGACCGCGGCCGTCAGCGCCGAACTCCATCGGCACCCTCGCCATCTTGGGCTGCCGCGTCGCCAACTCGATATGCGGCACCACGTGCGACGTACCCTTCAGCATGCTCGGCACCCACGCCCCATCCGTGTAGGCGCCCTCCTGCTGGAAGGTGCCGACCTTCAGCCCGCAGCGGTGCACAAAGGCACCCGCGCCGACCGGGACGTCCTTCTCGAAGTTGCCGACGTAGCGCACCGTGCCAGAGGCCAGTCGCCACTCGCCCGACACGAAGTGATTGTGCTCAAAGGTGCCGGCGAAGCACGATCCATCCAGCAGCTTAAAGGTGCCGCTGCCGTGCTTTTCGTCCTTGAGCCACGACCCGTCGTAGCTGCTGCCGTCTCGGTACACGTAGCGACCGACGCCGCTGCGCTTGCCGTGGACCCAGCGGCCGATGTAGCGGGAGCCGTCGGGGTACACCATGCGCCCGTGGCCGTGACGCATGTTGCGGAACCACTCGCCGGTGTACAGGGCGTTAGCCTTCGACCACCAGTACACGCCGCGACCGTCGCGCTGGTTTTCCTTGTACTCCCCTGCGTAGCAGTCGCCACCGGGAAAGAGGCTCTGGCCGAGGCCCTGCTTGGTGCCGTCCGCCAGACGAGGACCGACGTACACGCCCAACTCCCCAACGCGCTTCACGATGCCGACACCCCGGTCGCCCCACTCCTCGTGGTAGTCCTCGAGGCTATCGTACACCAAGTCCTCCGGCATCGGCTCCGCCTCCTCCTCCTCGTCCTCCTCCTCCTCCTCCTCCTCGTCCCCCCGGTTCGCCATCGCGCGCTCCGCCAATCGCTTTGCCTTCTCGTTCTCGCGCTGCTTCTGCCGCTCCGCCACCTCGGCCGCGTTGGGCAGCTCATCCTTCATCTCCAACCAGCGGTCGTACACGACCACCTCCGTCGACTCCGGGTCAAACGCGTAGGCCGCCCGGCGCATGCGCTTCACCAAGTACTCCACCAGCATAAAGTGATCATTCAGCACGGCCCACTGCAGCAGCGTTTGCTGAGTGATGGGGTCCTTCTCCAGCAGCACCGCCTGCACCTCCTCCTCCTCCTCCAAGTCGTTGAGGAAGCGTAGCAGCTGGCCGAGACGGGGGGCGGACTTGCTCAGCTTGACGTAGTCGGCGGGGTGGTGTAGGGGCTGCTGCCTCTGTGCTCCGGCCGCGGCGCCGTCGTCCTCGTTCTCCTCCTCCTCATCCCCGCTGTCGTCGGCGCGGTTGAAGGTGGGGTGAATGAGCTGCCATATCTGCGGCAGCTCCACCGCAACGTCGTCTCCGTCAGACATTTGTCCTTTTTCTTTGCTTTTTGGGGGGCTCCTCAACGTTCGTGGGAGTGTGAGCTCGAGGAGAGAAGAAAAAGTTAGGCTTCCAACTATGCACTCTGCATCCACAAAAAGAAATAAGAAAAACGTTTGGGTTTGAGTTGCGTTGACGAAGTCGCGGATTAAGCGCGATGGAGGTGGGCAAAGGGGAAAACAAAGGAAGAGCGGTGAGGAGAGACGGGATGTAGATGGAGTTAAAGAGTTCATACAGTGAGCAAAGGAACGAGCGGGTAGGTCACGGCAGTCACATTGGTGAGAACACGTGCATTTGGGGGCGTTTGTACGTGCTGCCTCAAAGAAGCCGTGCACAGTAAAAAGAAAGCGGTAAAGTTCGTTTAATGAAAAAGAACGGAAAACAGCAACTTCAACAAAAAGCACCGACATGCACATGATGGTGCTCGAAGTGTCCGGCCGGCAGGGCGCCAACGGATCCGAAATGACAGCTGCTCCTGCTGCCTTTCCGATAACAAAAAAAACTTGTTGCTCCTGAGCGATAATACAAACACTACATGACCTCCACTGTGATTGGAGCTTCTTTTGCTACCAAAAACAACAAAAAAAAAGGAAGGGAGAAACGGTGTTGGGCATTTACAGATTCACATAAGCCCTTTCACACATGCTACTGGAAAGCTTTCTTTTTTTTTTGGGGGGGGCTTCACTGATGTGGCACAAAGAAAACAACAACGACAAAGCACGCTTCACCTGAGCCCCATCCCATCGGAGAAGCCGCAACCTAAAGGGCGCTGAGCAACAGTAGTAATAGGAATAATGAAAAATATCGAATGAAACCGTTTGCCATGCGTCCCAGGTCGCACAGGAAGAAGTGCAGTGCGCCTCCCCGCACTTTCCTTTTTTTCGACTTCATTCTACAATCCGACACCGCGACGCCAAAATTTCAAACGCAATGGAGAATACTGTCGTAGAGGCTCACTTTCGTTGATCACTGCTCGGTGTCGGAGTCGGGCTCCACTGGGATTTGCCGAGAGAAGTGTTCGCGTTCCCGCTTATCTGCCTCAAAGTCGAAGTGCTCCAGAGGAATCGTCTTGGAGTACCCCATCGCCTTAGCATCGAGGCCCAGTTCGCGAAGCTCCAGCTTGTACACATCGTGCACATCCACGTGGGTGTACGTGTTCTTGTCCGCCGCATGGAACACGCTCTGGATGCGGCGCGCCTTGCGCTCTTGCTTGGTGCGGTGACCCGTGCTGGCGGAGAGACCGAAGTGGTACTGCAGCGGCAGCTGGATGGGGTACACCTCCCCACACATGGTCTCCGTGTACGTGCGCGCCACCTCCACCTCGCTCATGGCCACGCCGTTATCGTTTGTCACCGCAGTCACTTCGCGCTTCGAGACATCCTCGCGACGGATGATAATGGTCAGCTTCTTTTTGTAGTAGCGTACCACAAGCTCCAGCGGCTCCTCGCCGGCGGTGGTAGCCTTCGTCACGGCATCCATCAACTGCGCTTTTGGATCGTACGGCTTCGTGCCTTGTTGACGGAAGTCGTACTTGCAGCGAAGCACGTCCGGCGACGTCCGGAAGTTCCCGTTTGCAGGGTTGAAGTTGTTCACCACTTTAGCCCCAGAGCCCACGGTGTGATTCGGCAAATTCAGCAGGAGGTAAATGCTGGCGGTGTGATGATGATGCGCGACGGCGTCGCCCCGGCCTTTATGCTCATCGATGTGAGCAGCCTCATCACCAACGGAGTCGAGGATGACGCCGAAGCCTTTGTTGAAATCGGAGTACTTGACGCCCATAATTCTCGGTTCGCCGTCCCACTCGCTGACGGAGGTGCCGCGCTTGAAGATGCGCTTGAAGAGTTCCTCGCGCTTCTTTTTTTTCTCCTCGCGGCGCTCCCTTGCAAGCCGCGCTTCCTCCTTCTCCCTTTCGGTTAGGTCGTCTTCGTCCACCTCGTCATCGTCGTCGTCCTCGTCTTCTCCGGTGTTGAGCAGAAAGTCCGCCACGCGCCACGGATTGTCCGCGTCGAGGATTTCATCCCGCAGCTCCGGCGAAAGCGACTTGGAGTACTTCACCACATGTTGATGGTCGTCGCCGATAGGCTGGTCCAGGTACCAAAGAGCCATCCCGTCACCTCCTTGGTAGTGTGTCGAGTTGCCATCCATGTCGGCCGCGGGAGGCGGCGGACGGATCGAAAAGCGCAGACGCAGCTCCCAGCTGTCGTGATCGAGCGGCGCCGTGTTGAAGGCGAATCCGTGGTCATCGAGGTCGTTTGTTGTCAGGCGCAAGAAGCGCTCGTTGGCAACGGCGGAGCCGCCAATCATGTAATGCGGTATGCCCTCCTCCCACCAGTCATTGACGAGGGGTTCCTGGAAGCTGTGCTCATGCAGAAGCGGTCCTCGCATCACACCGTGTGGAAGATCATCATCGTGTACACCAGTCGCAAGCGCGCTATCGAGTACTGCAAAGCACAGCACCAACTCCAACAACAACACCGCAGTCCACAAAGTCGACATTGTGAGTGAATATGCCGTTTCCAAATTTGTGACAAAACTGTCGCAAAGTGATTTGATTTCACTTCTCTTTCCTTTTCGTATGTGGGTTCTGGAAGAAAATTGAGACGAAAGAAAGAACATAGTTTCAAATTGAAGAAAAGTTTCATGAATTGGTGCACGACTTCAATAATAATAATAATAATAATAATAATAATAAGATTCTCTTTTCTTTTTGTGTGTACACCAGACAGCGTGCGCTTGACCATTTGTTTGCTTTGTAGCGACGTCAACAAACTAGCATCACTTTCGTTTCGATTAACAACATATATATTTCGTTGTCAGTGCTTAAAGCACCACGTTGATGGCCGACGTAATGCAATATCTATAGAAAACATGATAATAAATAATACTAAAAAATAGTACAACATTATTGTAATGTTAACGTATCCATTGTGCGTCACACCTCTGTGATTTGAAAAGCAATTGATTAGGGAAAGTTTTGTTTCTCTTTGTTAGTATCAACACCTTTACGCTATAATTATGTGAGGAAAAAGAGGTTTTGGGAGGCAACTCACCTTGTCGACAGGTCCACATCCTCTTGCTGATGCGGTGCCTCCAGGTATTCCTTTGATCGCATTTCAACCAAGCGGGAAACACAACGATCCATCTGGAAAGAGCTGTCGTCAGCATCCATGAGCATCTTGCCGCTCTCACGCTCAAACTCTGAGAGACTGTCAAAGCGCGCTGCCCCACCCTCGACATACCCCGCGGACTCTTCCTTTGGCGCTTGGAGCTGAGCAGGTTCCACCGCCGCGTAGATGACGAGTTTGCACTTATGCTCGTAGAGTGTGTCGACGAGAAGTAAAAAACGGTTCTTCACGTCGTTGTTCTCGTACGGGAATTGCGGCACACCGTTGATGAAAACAGTGTGAAAAGTCTTCGCGATAACATCGTAGTCTGCAGTCGACTTTTCACCACCACATAACTCATGAAAGTAGAAGTAGCAGACGCCGCCGCAAGCTTTCGGTACTACCACATCACGTCCAAACACTTCCAGTTTCCTCGGCTCTGCAGGCATCCCTTTACAAATTTCCAGGAAGAGCTTTTCAAACTTGGTTTCGTTTTCACTGTTCATGGGTGAAATGTACGAATCCGCCTGGTGGCCGAGCAGTCGGTGATCAACGTTGCTCTTCATATGGTAAGTAAAGCACTGCTTGTTTACCAGATCAATAAAAGGAAGAAAACCGCCACGGTTAAGCCCACCTTTGTACAGATCGCTGGGTGGTCGATTTGACGTAAAAATCACCACCAGACCTATTTTGTAGAAAGAGTGAAATAATCGCTTAAGTATCATGGCATGGGCAACATCGGAGACAGCAACCTCGTCAAAGCACAGTAGCTCAACGTCGCTAATCATCCGCTGCGCAACTTCATCGAAAAGGTTGATTTCAGCGTCTGGAGTGCGGCGGCGGTTGTCGCTGGTATTGTAGCTGACCATGTTCGTGCGATTCGCAGGATTCAGCATCTCCTCCTTTGACTTGAACCGAATTGAATTAGATGTTTTTTGCACATCAAGCATAAATTGATGAAAGTGAAGGCGCCGCTTGCGAATTTCCGGAGGCACGTTGTCGAACAGCAAATCCATCAGCATGGTTTTCCCGCAGCCCACGCCTCCCCAAACGTACAAGCCTTTCACGCGCGACAGTGGATGATATACAGCGTTTTCATCTTCGTTAAGCGCTTGCTCCACCTTCTTTTCTTGTTCGCGGCGCAGGAAAAAAGAAGGGACGAGACCCAGTCGGTTTGGAGGGCGCAATTCAACTTGCCTTTTTGGCACCGCGTTGCGCTTGTTGTCCTTGGCGTATTTTACCAGGTCGCCGTACAAGCGGTCAAACACAGGCAGAGCATTTACTTGGCTTTGATCGACTGTTATGTCGCCTTTCGCAACAAGCTGACGATAGGCCTCAGAGGGCCGCATTGCAAACAGTAGCGGTACTCTGCGAAGCATTGTGTGTAAACTAGTAATTCGAAAAAGAAAGAAAGAAAGAATGGAGTCACATATGAAATATTACCCTCAGAACAAATAAACTGTATGCCTACAATAATCTCATGAGAAGAGAAACTGGGTTTCTTCAGAACGAAATGAGAAAAAAAACGAATAGACAGAGATGTAGAAAATGGGGGAAAAATGTCAAGTTACAGAAAGTATGAGAAGTAATTGGGGTGATAGATTGTACAACACATCAGGAGAAAGTGCCGCAAAGAAAACGCAAAAGCGGACTAAGCAGTGGCAGGTTGAATGTTTCCGATTGCAATGATGGGCTTGCAAAGACACCTCATCAAATGCGCCGGCAACGATAACAACAAACTTGTACACCAAAAATTCAGTTACAATGTTTCAATTTAATTATATAGATACTGGCAAAGAAAAAAAAATACACATTCTATGACATGCTGTGAAAGCCGATACAGGTAACACTCAAAGTAGAAAGCAACAACAACAACAACAACAACAGAGAGGTGCAAGTTTCACATTCTGCTCAGCTGTAAGGGAACACTACAAAAGTAAACACACATTTTAGAGAAAAAGAACACAGAGAATGAGAATACATATACGTGCCGCTTTCTTGAAGTGTCTGCAGCTCCTATGAAAAGAAAACTTGATCCAGCTAATTCTTATGAGGAAGAATCGCTGCCTCTGCTGTGGTCCGAAGCATTCGCTACACGACGCGCAGCTTTAAGAAACACATCTCGTGTTATCTCTGCCATGTTCTCTGATTCATAAACGTCAAGGATTTGAGCAAGTGGGATTTCTGCGCTTAAGGCGGCAACGCTGATAGTGGCAGGGTCCGAGATCGCCGGTATTCTTTCTCCTTCTTTAGTGAAAATCTTAATGCCCTCTTGAGTTGCTTGATAGCGGCGGTGATCAATCCACGCCCTACGAGAATAGGCCTGTAAGAAGCATCGATTGTAGTGCTCTTGGAAACAGTGAGTCATCCATGATCCGTCGCTGGTCAGCCGGTCGTCGTAATACGTCTGTCGTTCTCTGCGATACTTCTCTGTATCAGAACGTATCTTCGCAGCGTGCCGAATAGCTCGCGCCTCTAGCAGATCTTCGTAGAATGTTCGACGCCTTTCAGTAAAGTCGTGGATTTCGTCTTGCGCACATTTCTCATAAAAGCAGGTGCACTGCACAACATAGCTTCGAATATCCTGATCGGTAATGTCATTTCCGCTCCCCGTTGCGTCGCCGAAATCACGAATGGAGTCTTCCAATTCCATCTCGTTGATTATGGCTTGCAGATTCATGTTCAGCTGCATCGAAAGGTTATCGTCGGCGGATTTTGCTTTCACCTGTTTCTTCGAGCGCGACTGATACGCAAGGAGAGCGTTGTAGTACTTTTCCACGTCTGCGTAAAGACGCACCTCGTATTCTGTCTCTCTTGCCTTGGTGAATTGGACAACATCATTGTTGAGTTCACGTTTGTACTTTTCAGACTCCATGCGCTGAATCTCCTCATGTACTTCCTTTTGCTCTTGCCGGAATTCCTCTGTTTCCTCGTCAAGACGCTGGGCATAATGAAGGCGTCGCTTTTCAACATACTTCTCCACTTCAATCTGCCGCTCCTGCAGCATCCGGCCTTCGTACGCTGTGTTCACTGACTCGAAGAAGGTGCCGGTGGCACGCAGGACGCCGTCAGCAGGGTCAGAGGCGTCTTTATGCGTACCAAAAAGAAAGGCCTGTTGTCCTGCTGAAACAGAATGGAGAATGTCCTTCAAGATTGTCTGCGGACGCACGTGAGTGGCGCTCTCGTCAGTCTTTCTATGCGGATCGGAAGTAGCAGAGGCGACTTGCGCTTCCTCTACTGTTTCGATCGCAGGAGCTGCCTCTGGATCGAATTTTGTTGCCCCATCTGGCTTTTCAACTTTTGATGGGCGTGCAAGCAAAACTTCGGTTGCTGACAGTACACGTGGTCCGCTACGGATGAGTGTTCGCAGCATGGTTACCGCTACACGACCCGAATGTAAGCCGGCAAAATGTAGGAGGTTCGAAGTGTTGAAGCTTGAAAGAGAAAGAGTAACTGAGCGAAGTGGTAGTGGAGACTATTTAATGGTCTGCGGAGAAAAACAGATGAAAAGATTCTTCGAGTCAGCAGACGGAAAAGTTGCTTTCATTTTGTGCGCAGTTAGCAACAGCGACAAGCTAGCTAATAACATCTCCTCTCTTCGCAAACGCGTGTGAGTGACGCTCTATTTTTGTTATCCTTTTCGCTCTTAAAGCTCAGTTTGCGACTGCATGATGCTGAATACCCAGTTACCTCGGCTGACTTTAAATACAGGCGAGGAATGCACGCACCACAGGCTAGTGAGTTGTGCATTAAATGTGGATTCAGTACCGAGGTTTTCAACTGATTTCCTTCGCCAGTATAGTTGACTGTCGTTTGTTCTTGTACTTTGATAGAGTTTTTCCAACGCCAGGGAGCATCGGTTTTCTGTGCCGTGGAATGCGCGACCAAAGAGAAGCGACTTTTCGATCCAAATGCGAGATGCGCAACCAACGAATATCAGTTGCCGCGCTGCCAAGATCCAGTGCGACGTCGGCGCTTTGAGAAACTCTTACGAATACTGCTGCTCCCCTCCCCCCTCCTTTTTTTTCCCTCAGTTTCTTCCTTCTTCGCCGAACGAAGACCAATACAACAGACCAGCGCCAAGTGCTTGAAAGAGTGCTGCTTTTGTAAAAAGCAAGGGAGGGGAGTATGCGCACTGCTCTTTTTCCTTGGCGCAAGCTCGCGTTGAGGTCACATCCTTTTTTGACACGTTGCTTTGCTTCTCAGCTTTGTCTTTGTCAGTGCACTGCTCGCATTTCATTTATCGTTACCTTTCCGGTAAAGCCGTGTTTCTTTTTAATGAAAGCAAGCTTAATCCGGCGGGTCTGGATCTTGGATACTGTCAGATGACCGACTTTTCTTCTTCCTCACTTCCACGCACGCTCTACGTTGACAATATTCGTAGAACGGTGCCTCAGATTGGGTAACTAAGGTTCCTCTCTCTTTCTTCGTTTTCTTTACTCACCACGATTCCCACGGAAAAAATGATAATAACGACGACGACAACGAAGCACACCCATCGGCTTTCGTTTCCCTGAATGACGAAGTATCGCTAAACCTTTTGTCAGCGGTTACGTTTCTCTACGAGACTCTTCTCGCGAATTCGCAGGATTGCACTATATTGCTGCGCAACAAGTCAAATTTACGTTTGGTGTGTAATTCTGGCCCGCCTCCATACACAAGGACGCAATTATTTTTTCCTTTCTTTACTTCAAAGTGTTCTCAATTCCTCATCTTCTTCTGTCTTTTTCTCTTTAATACTAAACAATGACGTTGTCTGTGATAGAAACTTGCGAAACGCCCTGAAAATGATGCGCCGTGGACTTATCTTCTTCCAGATGTACGGAGCACCCCATGCCCCGTATGGAATGAATCCTAGCTCCCAAGATCCTGCAGCTGGCGGTGGCAGCAGTCCGTCGACGCGGATGATGATGCAGCGGGTGCAGAAGCTGGTTCTCGATCCTACGTCGTTCATTGAGCGACCACCTCGCAATTCCATTTTGAACATTGTCCCGCAAGGTCACGAGTACGTTGTGGAGCGGTTGGGCCGCTACCACCGCACGCTGGATTCTGGATGGTGGGTTGTGATCCCGATTATAGACAAAATCCGCTACAACTACAATGTGAAAGAACAGGGTATCGAGATTCCGAATCAATCAGCGATCACGTCCGATAACGTGATGGTTGAAATCGATGGCGTGCTGTTTTTGAAAATTGTGGACTCTTCGAAGGCCAGCTACAATATCGAAAACCCGGTGTACAACTTAATCAACCTGGCGCAAACGACAATGCGCAGCGAAATTGGCCGAATGCCACTAGACAGTCTTTTTCGGGAACGCGCGAGTCTGAATCAAAACATTGTGGAAGTGCTCCGGCGTGAGGCCAACGAGTGGGGCATCGAATGCAAGCGTTACGAAATTAGAGACATTATTGTAAGCGAACTGGTGCGTCGTTCGATGGACTTGCAGGCGGAGGCAGAGCGAAAAAAGCGTAAGCTCGTTTTGGAAAGTGAAGGTGAGTCTACTGCGACAGTGAATCGGGCGAACGGCATGAAAGTTGCCCAGCAATACGTCGCAGATGCTGCCAAGTACACTACGGAGAGAAACGCTGAGGGTGAGGCGGCTGCGATTCGCATTAAGGCGGCCGCCGTCTCGGACAACATTTCTCTCGTGTCGGAGGCTATCGACAAGGCAAAGCACGGTACAGAAGCTATTTCGCTGCGTGTCGCAGAGAACTACATCGAAAAATTCGGCGAGTTGGCGAAGGAGTCCAATACAGTGGTTATGTCTCAACCAGTGAGCGACCCTGCGACATTTGCGACTCAGGCGTTGTCTGTCTTCAACACTGTAGCGACTTCTGCTGCAAAAGGCGCGTCAACGCCTGTCAAGTGAGGAACGTCTATTTAGAATGTGTTTGCGTTTTTTTTTCTTCCCGTCGGCACTCTGTTATTTACGACACGTTTTGGTATTACTCTCTGAACTTACATTTTCATTTTTCAGTTTTTTTTCTGGTACACATGTACCAAGGCGGTAACCTTTACAATAATTAAAGCAGTAAGCACGAAAAAGTAAATTATGCAGTATTCCCGCGAGCGTGCTTCCTTCGTCCCCCATCTCCGTTTCTTTTTGTAAACATAGGAGGATAAATGGTTTCCTCTTCGTGAGCATGTGAAATGCAAGGATCAGAAAAACTACTGCTGAAAGCAGTTTCGCTGTAGAAACCCTCGCCGATTTTCTTTTTTGAACCGCTTCGCATGTAAAACGGTAGCTTTCTCGTCGCGTTCGTTTGCCCTCAGCAAACTTAATTTTGGAGTTTCCTGCCACTTGTCGCATGCTATTGATCACTTTTTCTTTCTGGTGATCTTTTCGTTTTGACTCCCGATTTTCGGCACCGTAAACAACACTTAAACGCTTTTCCATTAGTGGGGAACTCATTTGAAAGGAGTTTTCTTTCTGATAACACAAATACGCACTCACAAAAAATTACCAAAAAAATATGCAGCGCAGCGTGATCAAACTCTCCGTGGGTCGTAGTGGCGCACTTGCCGCCTCTCTTCTTCTCCGCAGCGACGCTCAGCAGGTGCGCGCCGCTGATGCTGCGCAGCGCCATGAGGTAGAGGAGCAGGCTAAGAGCTTCCAGATGCACCCTATGGTGGATCATCCCCGCTCGTCTTTCGAGTACAAGAGCAGCGCGAAGGGTGCGGAGGTTGGTGCACGTAACGAGGCCGCCTTCATGAACTACGAACCTTTCAGGCCGAAGACTCTCACGGGACGTCTTGTGATGCCAGGCAACATTAACCTGCTCACCGTCTCACCTTTGTACTGCGTTCTCTTATGCGTTGCGTCCGCTACCTGGGGTGTGTTCTACTGGGATATGTACTGCCGTAAGAACTACGAGACTGTTCTTATTGCTAGGCCGAAGGGTCTGTAATAGTATCGTTCTTCATGGTTGTGAACGTTCATTTTCTTTTTTTCTCTGGACATTCCTGCTTTACGAAAAAGCGAAATGCACATTGTTTTCTTTTTTCTTAGTACTTAGGCTGTTCATTAGTTTCTTTCGTATTTTCATAGGCACAGCTTTTCATCTTGTTAGTCGTCACGTTAGGTATGCAATTATTGGTTTAGAGTTGCCGCAAAGCAGCAAGAAAAGGAAATTGTACTGAAAAGAGAAGCAAACGAACGAGACAACACACGGGCTTCTCTGTGATATTCCATTGCAGCAACTACAAGATGAATACTTCCGTTTTCTCTGAATGCCTTTTTTTGATATTGCTGCTTTCGAGCTGATCAATGCTGCGCATCACATGAACACTCATGGTTTTCTCAAGCGTATCGGAGGTACAGTATTTATTGGTGCCTCAATTACTTTTTTTTTTGCAATGTTTTGCTCTCACGTGTTAATGATCGCGGTCAAGTGATGAATCGTTGTTAATTGAAACGGTTTGCTGTGTTTCGCCCCTCAGTTTTTCTCAGTGTTTCCTCTCAATTCTTCATATTTTAAGCTTTCTTTTTTTCTCTTCATGAGTTCGATTTGCAATCAACAGCAAACTATGTCGACTAGCACAAACGTTGCGAGGGCGGAGCGACTTGCGGCCTTTCTCCGCTCGCCTGACATTCCTGCCTCATACTACAACAACACGGTCAGTGAAGACAAGCTGCTCACTCTGTCAAGACAGTACGAGACGTTCTATTGCAATTTTTTTCCTGACCGCAAACCACTGTTTTTATACTCTAACAATGAGTGCAGAAAACAAAAGATGATCTGCTCGTTTGTCCGCCCAACTTCTCTCATATTCGACAAACTCTTTGATTTGCAGGGGTGCTGCCAATTCGTAGCAGATTACATCCGTTACGAACCGCTTCACAGTCCGCTGCTTTACGAAGATGAGGACGACGACACGGTGGAGGGGCTGCCTTCGCAAGTCGTGTCTCCTGCAACCACCCTCAACTGGCAAACAGGTAACTGCATTGAAATGAGTCTCGTACTCACTTCTTTCCTCATCGGGGCTGGTTTTAACGCTTATGTTGTGATTGGCACGGCAGCACCCGCGGTGTGCCTCTGTGACCAAAGCGCTTCGTACTGGGAAGGCAGCCTTCCGGTCGAGGTCAATTCTGACGACGAGGTTGAGGACACCACACCCAAGGGTAATCCGTATATGGCACTCATTCTCGAAAATCCAGTGCTGCGGGCCCCCAACGACCCCGACCCAGAAGTGGAGCTTGCAGCAGTGAACGACCGAAACGCTGTATCGGCCCACGGCAGGAACTCGAATGCGGCGAATGCGGAGGGCAGCGCCATCAAACCGGTTCACTCGTGGGTTCTCGTGCTGCCTGGTGGGCGCAAGTCTGTCTCCGATCCGGTCTTTGTGGAGCCTTCCACTGGAAAGCTGATTCCGCTTGCCGCGGTGGACACAGTGTACACCTCTATCGAGACGCTCTTCAACCACGAGGAGTACTACGTGAACATGCGACCCAATGCTCTCGTGAGCTCGCTCGCGCTAAACCTGACGGACGGGAGTCAGTGGGAAAGTTTGTTTTCGCTGGTCGGCGCAGGTGAGGAGGAGTCGGATAGTATGACCAACACATATTCCACTGCGAGGCGAGCGTACACGAGCGAGCTGACGGCAACAATTGCCGCTATGGCGGCGACAACCGCGGCGGAGTCCGGCGACGCCACAAAGGGAAAACGTGTACGCATTCCCAACTTTTGGTCGAACGAGCTTATTATAAGCCAGCAACAGTACGAGACGCGCTTTCCCGAGGGCTTAAAGCAAATCAGATACGCCAACGCAATTGTCCGCCGCTACGCACCCTACTCTCAAAACGATTTGAGGGTGCAAGAGATTCTCGTGCCGGACGTCGAATACACCGGACTGGAAGAGGTCCACATTTTTTATGCCCACCGCGCCGACAAATTGCGCCGCCGCAGCGTCTACCCGTCTGCCGCGACGCCGCCCCGCCCCCAGACGGAGTCGTCATCCATCCTGGCTAGTCGCCCTGCCACGTATGCCTTCGACGCGGCAGGTGAGCCTCGCAAAATCGTTGAATGGTACGACAAGGGGCGAACACACGATACAGCGGTGGAAGGGTTGAGGGAACTGATCTACGAGCCCGGCAGGCAGCGCACCATGAAGTTTTATTGGCGGGCACGCAGCGACGGTCTGTGCTGTCGCACGGAGCTGCTCTACGACAGCAACAAGTTGCGCAAGGTGAAGGAGCTCTACAAGGGACGCAGAGACTTTTTGTGGTACCGCAGCTTCAGCTACGTCCGTCCCTCCACTGTGCGCGAATTAAGCCTCCACAACTTGGTTGTCCTCGGACCAGGAAATGTGTCGGCGATGCGCGACTACCCGCGTCTCGACCCGGCGCGCATCAGCCAGAAATTTTTGCGCAACGAGAGCGTCGCCGCGGACACGGATGTCGCAAAGATCACGTTTCTTCGCCCGTCGCCTGAGGGGAAAGGCGGGAATCCGCCTGCGGGCGAAATGTGGATTTTTTTCCACTCTTCTCCCGGCAGTCTCCTTCGGCCCTATCACATGTTTGCGAAGCCGGGCTCCTCGGTGGAGGAGTACATCGCCTCCTCCGCTGCACGGAAGCCGGTCGAGCCGCCAGTGAAGGTCGTGACGCTGCCCGGCGAGGCGGCACCCAGCGAGTTGGACCTGTACAACGAACGGAAATGGTTGAACGCTGTCGAAGCCACGTGCCTGATGGAGCAGCGCGCCAGGATGGATGAGTGCATGGATATCCTCAAGGCTATCGAGCAGGACCACACCAGCGTGCGGTCAGTGTTGAGTTCGTACGACACCCTGCGGAACCGGCCGAAGGAGACCGAGGCGGAGCGGGCGCGGAGGCTCGCCGAGGCCTTGCGGCGGGAGGAGTCGCGAAAGGACTACCTCGCGCCGTACATTGCGAAGTTGGAGATGCCACCTGATTTTGACGGCAACTACTTGACGATTCGCCTCTCCATTGAGCAGGCGAAGCAGGTGCGAGATGAGGCGCTGCACGAGCTGAAGGAGCGGCTGATTCAGCGCGGACACATCATGCAGAGTCGGATGGACCGGGAGAAGGAGGAGTTCAACAAGCGGCAGCAGCTCTACAAGAAGACCGTTGATGCCTCCGCCGTGGAGGGCGACAAGGACACGGAGGAGTTCGCGTTGTACTGCAAGGAGGCGACGTGGAAGATGAAGGTGCTGGACGAGCGGCTGTCGCAGCACATCGACCACGCAAGCGACAAGTACAATCAACTGGCGCAGCGCCTTGCTGATGACCCACGATTGGTGGCTCTCTACCACCCCGGGCACTGAGCTCTCTCTCTCACTCCGTGATCTCCTCATTTTTCTTCTTTTTTTTTCTCTCTCCCTATTTTGCTGCGAAGAGATAAGGGGAGGCGGAAAACAGCAAAACGCTTAGGACGACGGGCAACATCACTATCCCGAGGCGACGAGACCGTTTTGATGTCGAGCCAAGCAGACGCGGGCATTCAAGATCATCTGCTACCACGTTCCGCAAGATGAAAAGCTCCCTCTTTTTCTTTTTCTTCTCTTGTAAACTAGAGATCTAGCTCGTTATTATCTTTTTTTTTTTCTGCCAACCCTGATGTACATGGCGTTTAAATGCAAAGCGCTGACTGATGTTATGTAAGGATGATTGTTCTCCACGTTGCCGACCACCCGTGGCGTTAACGTGAGGCCGACAACAACCAAAAATACGTTGGAAAACAATGCATGGTACGTGTGTGCTAGGGAAGGAATGCCGGTGGAGAGAACGCAGAACAATCCTTTCGACCCACGTCGATTCACAGCTGCCACTGTCCATACCACGGAGGGAAGGTGGCGGGTTTCATGTTTCAAAATCTAAAAAGAAGTCGCGAAGATAAGCGGTGCTTTTACCGCTGACTTGCTGTTGATGCCGTGACTTTGGAAGTCGGCCCTTCGCCACACGCAAGTCACACGCATTTTCGTTTCGTGCATCTGATCGTTCGCTTTATTCGTGCTTTTCTTTACCCGCACGTTCATCTATCGTTTTCTCCTGCTCTTCTGCCCCCCCCCCCCCTTTCAGTTTCCTCTCTTCGAATTGACTTGTTTGGCGCAACCGAACTCCCTGTAATAATACTACTGCTACTAGACTGCGGTCCTACCAAAGGCCCACAACAGCGAAGGCGGTGTTGGCGTTATGAAGTACCTTGCGGCCTTCGCATCCTCTGCGAGCCTGGAGGGCTTTCGCCTCCCGGAGTTTATCTCCGTAGCCGCTGCACTGGACGTCCCTGTCACCCTACTCGACGACGACATTCCGTGGGTGGCGCACGGCGGTGACTCCTTCTGGTTTAGCGTGTTCGAGTCGGCGGCGACTCTCGACCAACTCAGCAAACTCGCGGCCCGCTGCATCCTGCTGCGGGGTATTTACCTTCTCTTCGAAACCGCACCCACGCTGGAGGACTTCTACGCGTGCCTGGACGCCCGCAGCGGGGCGGCGTCCTCTGGTGCCTCGGCCACCGCGGCGTCGTACCGCGCCTTCGCCGGTGAGTCACACGCGCCGCAGCTCAGCAGCTCCTCCGGCTACTGCTATCAGGTGGAGACGATCGGCAGGAAATACACGGACGAGGCGAAGCGGGCCGTGGTGGAGGCGGTGCTACGGCGGGTGCCGCTGCAGGGCAAGGTGGAGTGGCACAGCCCGCAGCGCCGCTTCTTTGTATTTCTTCAGCACGCCGTCGAGAGCGCGCTGGCGGGGGCGCAGGGGTGGGTGCCGAATGGGCCGCTGCTGCGTGTCTTTCATTGCTGCTTGTGTGTCGAGTCGGGTCGGAGGGCGCTGCTCGCCACGTACGACCTGAAGAAACGGCCGTACATCGGCACCACGTCGATGCCGCCGGAGGAGTCGATGGTGATGGCGAACATGTCGTGTGTGCGCCGCGGTCACCTCGTGTACGACCCCTTCTGCGGCACCGGCAGTCTGCTGGTGGCGGCGGCGCACTGCGGGGCGATGACCGTCGGCTCCGACGCCGACGGACGGGCGATGCGCGCGGGAACAGAAAAGGGCAAGACAAGTCCTCAGATGCAGCAGCAGCGGCGGCTGGCACTGGCCAACTACTCGCCGGCGCAGCTGGAGGGCCTGACGGAGGAGGAGCGCCTTCTGCCCAACATGTGGACGAACTTCAAGCTGTACGGCCTGCCGCCACCCGACCGTGCGCGCATGAACTTCTCTGCGTGGCCGCACACGTGGCACACCGCCGCTGCACCGGACACCGGCGCCATCTTCGACAGCGTCATCTCCGACCCCCCGTACGGTCTGCGCGAGCCGCGGAAAAAAGTGGAGATGAGCGCCACCGCCGCCGCCGCGGTGACGCTGTCCGCCTACGCGACGAGCGAGGTGGTGCTGGACCTCGTCCTGTTCGCCGCGGCGCACCTCGCCATGGGTGGCTACCTCACCTTCTGGCACCCCACCACGGACCACTACACCGACGACGAGCTGCCCGCGCACCCGTCCCTGCGCGTCCTCCACGACATCCCGCAGCGCGTCTCGCTCAAAATCGTGCGGCGGCTGATCGTGATGCGCAAGGTGGCACCGCTGCCGTCGCCGCCTCCGTCGCGGGAGTCCTGCGCCGCGAAGCGAGCGCCGGAGGACCTCCGCAAGCTCATGGATGCCACGGCACTACCAGACAACGCGGAGTACACGCACTACCGCGCCAGACGCGAGCGCAGGCGCCAAGCAGCGCAGCAGTTCCAGGCCTCTGCGCCGGCGAGCGAAGACGGCAGCAGCGGCGGCGGCGGCGTCGGGAATCGACGGGGGCGGAAGCAAAATCGCCTGGATGCGCAGGAGGAGGTTGTGGCGAACCGCCAGCGCAACATCGAAGTGCGGGAGGCGAAGCAGGCCGCCTCTCACCTCGCCAACGCCGCACACAAAGCGAGGACGGGCGACGCGTGAGCACCACTTCGGCTCTCCGGCGCCTCGAAGAGAAGCTGCTCATATATATATATATATATATATATATAGTTCCCTTCCCGTTCTCCAATTGCACAAAACGCTGGTGGGAGAGCGATCGACAACAACATAAGGAATGCATTAACCGTCGAGTAAAAGCGAAGCTGTTTAACATTGCAAGCGCACGCACACAGTAAAGTCGAAAAATAAGGAAGACCACAATGTGAGGTACGCGGCGACTGCCCAGCGTCCGATCGAAAGCCTTTCCGTTTTCCAAACCTGATGAATAGGTGAAAAGGAACTCTGCCTCACACGCTTCAGATCACATCAGTGCTGCAAAAAATCTTGTTTCTCACCTGTTTTGTTCTCTCTTCTAAACCAACCGCAACATCGTGTCGCGATGAGGCGTACCTGCTCTCTTCATTTTTTTATTTTAGACTGTCCATGCTCTTCTTCTTTTCACGCAATCGACTCCTTCTATCTCACTTCTTTTCTCTCTCTCGTCTTCGATACTCGTCTACTCCTGCTTCTTCCAAAAAGAAGCACTTTCGTAGCTCATCTAACTCGTCCACTGCTTCTTTGATTTTTTGTTTTCTTTCGTCTCTTCTCACCCAGGCTGTGCCTTCTGTGGCAACTCCGTTCTCCTCTCTCTGCTTTTCCCTTTTCCTTGTGTGGCGAACAACGAACGGGCAGAGGATTATTCCAAATAAAAAGATAACTACAAAATGGCGAACGTAGAAACCGATGCGGCCAACGGCCTCGCGAACTCCAACGACGCCCTCGTCGGGGCGGCCGTGCTGAGCGCCCCCGGTGGCAACGGCGACAACGAGCAGGAGAACGAAGATACCTGCCAGGTGCTCATCCCACCGAATGCTGATATGGGCGGTGACGAGGAGGAGGTGTGTGGTGTGTGCCTCGAGCCGCCCGCACCCGGCTGCTTCGTCGAGCTGTGGTGCTGCGGCAACATACTCTGCGTCGCCGATGCACAGCAGCTGGGCAAGTGTCCCTTCTGCCGGGAGGAGCCGTTGGTGTGGAACATCACCAAATAAGTGCGTTGGGTGTAGCGAGCTCTTAAGATGATGAAAAAAAAGATATTCTTCTTGGAGTGAGAAAGCGGTTCGTTGTTGCTTTGGTACAAGTCTTCTTTTGTATATGTTGCTTTTGGGTGATTGTTGCTTACAGCTGTATGAGGCCGTGCTGTCACGGTCGGGAAGAGAAAAAATCCTTCCTATATCTTTATCCTTCTTTTTCTCTTTGTCAACGAAATTGCCTTCTCCCACGACACCGCTTGTCATTGTTTTGCTTTTCCTTTTCGTTTTTTTTTTGGCCTTTTAAAAACAACCTTCTTCTTTAAGAAAAGGCCCTTTTCTTTAGCTCGACGAGTCAGGAGCAGCAGCCGAAACACCGCAGCAACTCTTGGTTGATGAAAGAAGTGTGAGAGATACACGCCACTACAGCCAACCGCGTACGTTGCTTCTTTTCTAGTGTGTGTGTGTGCCGCTGCGGGTGCGTGGAATGCTGCTCCGCTTTAGTTGATTTAATTGATGTGGAGCATTATTATATACCACAACAGCAAAAACAGGTTGTAGACGCTAAAGAGAAGCTTCAGTCGTGTCGTGTGGCATGCTACTCCAGAGGAATAGTCCCGTGGAAGGCGCCTCTACCCACCGCTCCTTCTGTTGTCCAGCGGGTCAAAGAAGAGGAAAGAGCAAGTTCGTGGGCGCACAACGTGTGACGACAACGCGTTGGGGTGTGCGCCGCCCGACGTGATGCTGCTGATCCTACAGTGCCCTTCGAATGGCTCGCCCATCGTAGTACCATTGTTGCTACACTTATGTGTGTGCTTTGCATCTCTCGCTTCCTAGCCATTCAATTCGCACGCCTCTCTTGGTTCGTCGACGGAGAACTTCTCACTTCTCTTTTTTTTTTGATTGGAATCTTTGACCGACCACGCTCCTGCTTCTGCGTTCGACGCGGGGAAGCGACACGTTCAAAAGGTATCGGAGACCACATTGCCAAACTCGCGCAGCGCACCCAAACCGAGGTCAAGGAGAGACGTCCGACTTCCTTCCGCAGCAGCGTTCATTACTCAAGCGGCTTCAAAACCAAACAACAGCAGAAAGGTACAGCCCCCTCAAGATGGTTGTTATCAAAGGCGGGGGACAGACCTATGCGGTGGGCATGGGCCGCCAAATGGAGTGGGAAGACGTCCCCGAGTCTTTTAAGAAGAAGTGCGACGAGCAGAAGGAGATCGAGAAGTGCGTTGACATGCGCGCCAAGGCGCAGCAGTGCATCAGTGATAAAGGATTTTGGGACGCCGAGTGCGTCGGCCTCACTGAGGAGTTTCATCTTTGCCAGGCCAACGAGCTGACCCGATTGGAGCTCTCGCATCAAAAGAAGAAGAAGTGATCTGCTCGCCTTTGCGGGTAGCCGTGGTGGCGTGGATACCCCGTTTGGATTTTACTTTCTTGGTTTCGCTTTCTCCGTTGATCCGTTATGTGCGCAGTCTCTTCGGCTGCACGACTTCTTTGCATTTTATTCGCAAACGTAAGAGGTGAAATTGGCCTTTCAATCCAGTTTTGGTGAAGCACCGTGATGCTGGTATCGATGCGAGCTCAACCGTCTTGGTACAATGCACGTGCATGTATTAATCTTTAAAGTGGCTTCTAGTAGACCCCCTCCTCCCCCTCTTTACTCAACGACCGAGCTACTCCCTGTTCTATCCCTTCCTCTCCCTGTTATTCTGTGCGTGTGCGTTCAGCTTACGACTACTGTCCAAGCAGTGCTGTTACGAAGCCATTGAGCGGGTGAGTGAGAGTGTACGTGTACGTCCAGCGCAGCGCACGAAGAACTTCCTCTCCTGCGCTTCTTTCGACGCGCTGCCCCACGTCCATTCATTCCACCTTTGCGTTTGTTGATTAAGAAAGTTTTTTCCCACCCGTATAGGCCTCCGAGACCCCCCACCCCTTCCTAGAGCTGTAAAGGCAGGTGCTTGTTAGTATTAGTAGTAGTGAGAGGGAGCAGACGAACACACGTCGTGTAGAGACGCCGCGGCCGGCAACGATTGTGTCGCCTTTAGACGGTTGCGGGTGCATTTCATTGGGAAACTCTTCTTGCTCCCCCCCTCTCCGTTCCAAGAAACGAGAGACAATCTGTATTACCTTCTGTCGTGTTGCTCTTGAATCTATAGTGTATATCGACCTTATCGCTTTCCATTTTTTTTTTTTAACTCCCTCCCCCATCTACCATGCGCAAGGGGTTTCTTCGCTCGTCGGCCATGCTGCTGGAGCGCGTGCATGGCAACCTCAAGGACCAAGACCGCATCTTCACGAACCTGTACGATGACTTTGGCACCGACATCGGTGCGGCGGAACGCCGCGGTGACTGGTACCGCACCAAGGACCTACTGCTGAAGGGGCACGACTGGGTGATCAACGAGATCAAGGCGAGCGGTCTGCGCGGCCGCGGCGGCGCCGGTTTCCCTTCTGGGCTGAAGTGGTCCTTCATGCCCAAGAAGAAGCCCGACAACCGCCCGAGCTACATCGTCGTGAACTGCGATGAGTCGGAGCCTGGCACGTGCAAGGACCGAGAGATCATGCGCCACGAGCCGCACAAGCTGGTCGAGGGCTCCCTCGTCGCCGGCTTTGCGATGCGGGCCCGCTACGGCTACATTTACATCCGCGGCGAGTTCTACAACGAGTGGCGCGCGGTGGAGAAGGCGATTCACGAGGCCTATCAGAAAGGCTACCTCGGCAAGAACGCGTGCGGCAGCGGGTGGGACTTCGATCTCTACACCTACCGCGGCGCCGGCGCCTACATCTGCGGCGAGGAGACGGCGATGATTTCTAGCATCGAGGGCGGCCCGGGCAAGCCGCGCCTGAAGCCGCCGTTCCCCGCCAACATCGGTCTCTACAGCTGCCCGACCACCGTCACGAACTGCGAGACCGTCTCCGTGTCGCCGACAATCCTGCGCCGCGGCCCGCAGTGGTTCTTGCAGTTCGGCCGCAAAGGCAACGCCGGCACGAAGCTGTACTCCTTCTCCGGCCACGTGAACCGCCCATGCACGGTGGAGGAGGAGATGAGTATGCCGCTGCGCGAGCTGATTGAGCGCCACGCCGGCGGCGTTCGTGGTGGGTGGGACAACCTGCTGTGCGTCATCCCGGGCGGCTCGTCGTGCCCGCTGATCCCGAAGCACATCTGCGATGACGTGATCATGGACTACGATGCGCTGAAGGCGGCACAGACGGGGCTGGGCACGGCGGCCGTCATCGTGATGGACAAGTCGACCGACGTGATCAACGCGATTGAGCGTCTTTCGCAGTTCTACATGCACGAGTCGTGCGGGCAGTGCACGCCGTGCCGCGAGGGCAGCCCGTGGCTGGACAAGATGATGAAGCGCTTCGTCAACGGCAACGCCAAGAAGGAGGAGATCTACACCATATGGGACGTCTCGAAGCAGATGGAGGGGCGGTCCATCTGTGCGCTCGGCACCGCCGCAGCATGGCCGGTGCAGGGCCTCATCCGTCACTTCCAGCCGCTCATGGAGGAGCGGATCGAGAAGTACTGGGAGGCCAACCCGCACTGGGGACAAGCTGGCTCGCCGTGGCGCCGCTGGAAGACGCACCGCTACTACACCATGCAGAAGGGCGATCGCCTCAACTGGGACGGTAAGATCGTGCGCAACTGGAACTGACGCACCCCTCTTACTGCGTGGCGCACCGATGCTGCGGTGCGCGCGCCATCATGGCGCTGCGTGCATTCAGCGTGCTCTGTCGTGCCGTTTCTTTTTTTCTTTCTCCCCTTTACTGTTATATGCATCGCATCAACGTCTGCCACACGCTCGATGGAGACGGCAGAGGGACAGTGTTTGCGTCAGTGAGGGTGTGGTAGACTTTAACGAAGTAGGGTTAGCATTACACTAGTTAGCTCATCTAGGAATGACACGCGTCTTTTCTTCTTCTTTAGAGACGCTGGTCACGTATTCATTTCTTGTTGCCGTTTGCGCGTTTACTGCTGCCTGGCGTCGGTGTGGGGCTTCGCTTTCCTGGAGCCGTCTTTTGCTTTTATCTCCTCGCTTTCTTGTCTTTGCGGCGCGAAGCTCCTGTGGGGCAATTCTCAAGAGTGTTTCAAATATCTGTGTTTTTCTGCTCTTCTCCATCTGGGGCCTCCGAGGCGGCTGGGCGATGGCGCTGCAGTTTAGCCGTGCCCAGCGACGCCGCGGCCGTCGTGGAAAATGCGTGGTGGGCGGCGCCTACGCTGCCTATGCGGTGAACGTGGAAGACGCAGCGAAGTTCGTTTCCGCAGCCCATATCCAAAGGGGACACCAACGTGACTGTTGCGACTGTGGTTTAAATGAGATGTGCTGGGGCACGGGGCTGCGGCCGTCGCCGGCCACCCATATGCTCCCCCCCTCCCTCTCCTCCCTCCCCCCTCTCTCTTTCGTTTCTCGTCTGTTTGCCTTGGCACGCGTATTCCTCATTCCAGAACGCCATTCTAATTTATCGAACATTACTACTACTCTTCGCCTTCCTCCTCCATTTGTTGCCTTTGCAGTTCTTATAGTTCTCTTCAAAACAAAATCCTCTACCCTTCTCAATCCACTACGCAACTTAGCGCCTTTCGCTTTTGCCGCTTCCGCAGTATCGTATTTTGTTTCTTTCTTTCCTTTTGGGGTAAACATACACACCCAAAGGTATACACCTACCGATCCACCGACACGCCACCCCTTCCCAACTCCTACACAGATGCCCGTTGCAGCGAAGCACCCCGGCAAGGTTTTTGTCAAGGCGAGCGCGGTGAAGGACTATCTGGGCGACTACCGCATCTTTGACTGCCGCTACAATTTGGCGGTGAAGGATCATGGCACGGTGGAGTTTGCCAAAGCACACGTGCAGGGTGCGACGCGCGTCGACGTCGACGAGGACCTGTCGGCAATAACCAAAAGCAGCACCGCCCGGCATCCCCTGCCGCCCTGCGAGAAGTTCATCTCGTGGTGCAAGGCGAACGGAATCAGCGACAAAAAACCGGTGCTGTGCTACGACGACGAATGCGGGGCGATGGGGGCCTGCCGCCTGTGGTGGATGCTCGACGCGCTCGGGGTGGAGACGTACGTCGTGGACGGCGGCGCGCAGGCCTGCAAGGCGGCCGGGATCGCGATGGAGTCGGGAGAGCCGCCGGCGCCGCCACCGCCCACCTCGGAGTGGCCCTTCAGGACGGCCTACGCGCATCACTACGTGGTGGGCGAGATTCCGCCGAACGCCGTCATCACCGACGCGCGGGTGCCGCAGCGCTTCAACTCCACGGTGCGGCCCTACGCGGCGGACCCCTTGCCCGGCCACATCGAGGGCGCGGTGAACCTCCCGTACAACATGCACCTCGTCCAGCCCGACGGCTACCCAGTGCTGCGTGAGGAGAGTGAGCTGCGCGAAAACATCCTCGACGCGCTGCGCGGCAGCATCGGCAGCGACACGGCGGGTCTGTCGAAGTGCGTCTTCTCGTGCGGCAGCGGCCTCAGTGCGTGCATCAACATCGCCCTGGTCCAGCAGCTCGGACTGGGCCACCCCTACCTGTACTGCGGCTCCTGGTCGGAGTACTGCGGCCTCTTCCGCTTTCCGATGCTGCGGAGCATCGTCAATGACTATGGCATGTACATTCAGTTGCACACCCCCAGCCTTGGCGACAACCCGAAGGCCGACGCAGCGGTTCACACCATCGAGGTAGACGGCACACCGAGTAAGAGCCTCGATGCGGAACTGACGAGTGCCTTGGCGCACCTCCACGCCGGCGAGAAAGGCACGGTGTACTTCAAAAGCGGACGCGTCGCCACCATCGAGGTGATCAAGACCGCGTGAAAAGAGAAAAGAAAAAAAGAATCAGCAGAACAAGGAAAGACCGCTGCACTAGTCTCGTGACGATGGGCCGTTACACTTATTGTAATCTTCTTTCACTCCGGTACGAAGACCGCTGCGAAAGTTTTTCACTTGAATACAGCTCAACAGTCACTTCAACTGGTTGGCCGACTCGTCAACGCTTGATGTTTGCTTTTTCAGTGTCTTTTATGTTCTCAGGCAGCAGTACAGTCGCTCAACAAATATATCTCACCTCACCAGCGCGGTGACGTT